GACCCCACGGACGGCGACACCCGATCAGCGGGCATCAACTCTCTCGGGCTTCAGATCCATGGTTCGCTGGATTTGTCCCTGAAGCCTGAAGCGGCGGCTGCTGCTGCTGCTGCATTGGAATGCTGACTGACTGACTGACTGACTGACCGACCGTGACGTGCAGGGTTCCCCCCCCACTATGGCTGCGAGGCAGGATGACCCATGACGCCGAGCATGTTCGGCGATCTCATTCCTTCAAAGATCGTATAATGGGCTCGGCCTCGTCTTAAGTAAGACGAAACCCTGGGTTGAGCTGGGACCCTATAACGGCCCTTTTCTGCTGTTCAGATCCAGCCTAATCCCTGTTGCTGTTTTCTGGAGATCACACAAGTCTGAGGTTATAGTTCAATTCTCCCCCGTCTTAGTTGGCGTACATCAAGGCCACATACCTGCTTTCGACGACCTGGTGTAGCCCCCACAGCTGATTATGGAGGCCGAATTACCAACCAAGAAAGATGATTTCGATCTCGAGCGGAACGAAGCGCATCAATTCTTGATGAACAACACTGTCCAAAGCTTGGCCTGGAATGACCTACGAGTCACTGTCAAGGACCGTCGAACAAAACTCCCTCGACAACTCATCGATGGCATCAGTGGCTCAATCCAGCAAGGTAGGTTCCTCTATTGCCTTGTGCTTGCTGAAGGAAGGTCAACTCATGCATTGTGAGCAGGAGAGCTGGTCGCACTGATGGGGCCATCAGGATGTGGCAAGACGACCCTCCTTAATGTCCTTGCTCGGCGTGTAGCATCCTCGGGCGCAACAAAAACTGGAGAGTGCTATGTTAATGGGTCGGCGATGGATAACACCACTTTTGGACGGCTCACGTCCTATGTGGAACAAGAAGATGCCTTGATTGGTTCATTGACTGTTCAGGAGACTTTGAAGTTTGCAGCCGATCTCTCTCTTCCAAGGTACTTCTCTAATTGATCTCTGGTCATTCTCGATCGAAACACTAATACGTCCAGTTCCGTCTCCAAATCGCAACGGGCAGAGCGCATTCGCACTTTGTTGGAGGCCTTCGGTATTCAGAATCAGGCCTCAACGTTGGTTGGCACACCAATCCGCAAGGGCATCAGCGGTGGGCAAAAACGGCGAGTCAGTGTCGCTAGTCAACTGATCACCTGTCCGAAGATCTTGTTCCTGGATGAGCCTACCAGTGGTCTGGACTCAACTGCCAGCTTTGAAGTCATTTCCTACATCAAGAATCTGGCCGTGGCAAATAATGTATGGATTCGCTAGGGAGGAATGACACAATATGCTAACCTCTGCTAGCTGATTATCATCGCCAGCATTCACCAACCATCATCAACCACTTTCCAACTCTTCGATAAGCTGCTTCTGCTATCAGGCGGACAGACCTGCTTTTTCGGCCCTGTCACTGGTGTGCCGCATTATCTCGACCGACTTGGTCATCCTGTCCCGCCGAACACAAACCCAGCGGAGTTCATTCTCGACCTGATTAGCGCCGACTTCGGCGGTGGTACGCTCGATGCGCCGGAGGATCAAGTGGAGGAGATTTGCACGGCTTGGCAACACTCTGCGGAGCGTAACGCATTGGGCGAGCAGCTATCACAGGACTTGGGAGGCCACGAAAAGGGCTTCAGCAAGGTGGACATTGCAGAGCTCGGTCATCCAGGGATGTTCAGTGTTATCGTGTCCCTCTTGCACCGCGCCTTCATCAAGAGCTACCGTGATATTGTGGCATACGGAATCCGGATTGTTATGTATATGGGTATGTTCCAGAGTGCCAGAAAGAGCCAGCGCTTAACCTTACTGACTTTATCTAGCACTAGCCATAATGGTGGGAACTGTGTGGCTGCGTTTGCATACTGAACAAGCCTATATCCAGCCATTCATCAACTCAATAGTAAGCCAGCGACTCTAACTGCCCGATATAGTTCATTGAATACATATACTAATGTTTTAGTTCTTCGGCTCCGCGTTCATGAGTTTTATGGCCGTTGCATACGTCCCTGCCTTCCTGGAAGACCTAGCAACTTTCACCAAGGAGCGTGCGAACGGTCTCTACGGCTCATTTCCATTTCTCGTGTCCAACTTCATTATCGGCCTCCCATTTCTGTGTACGTTTCCTCGTCCGCAACCGCAGGTCCTTGGTTTGTCATTGCCTGCTTGGACGCTAATCAAGACTCCTGTCTAGTCCTCATCTCCCTCCTCTACTCCGTGATCGCCTACTGGCTCAACAACCTCACTCCATCCGCCACGGCGTTCTTCACCTGGATCATGTGGATCTTCCTCGACCTCGTGGCCGCCGAGTCCTTGGTAGTTTTCGTCTCCTCCATCTTCCCCAACTTTGTCATCGCTTTGGCCCTAGTCGCCTTCGCCAACGGGCTCTGGATGGCGGTGGGTGGGTTCCTGGTGACCAACACCATCCTGAATCCATTCTGGAAATATGTCTTCCATTACATCGATTATCAGGTTAGTTCAGTTTACTTGATTTGCATTTAACAACCACACTTATCTCCTTGCCCACCTCCTCCCCTCATCCCCAACTGCACAATCCCACTAACACAACCCCACAAATAAGGCCTACGTCTTCCAAGGCATGATGGTCAACCAATTCTCCGACCGCATCTTCGCCTGCGCCGCCGACTGCACCTGCATGTACCAGACCGACCTGGCCGCGCAGTGCCAGATCCGGGGCACGGGCGTGCTGCACGAATACGGCTACGCCACCGGCCGCACCGGCAAATGGGTGGGGATCCTGCTGGGGATCATCGCCGTGTATCGATTATTCGGGTACCTGGCTCTTGTGTTTCTGAGACGGTAGGCTTTTAGCAGGATGGGTGCGTGCATCCGGTATATACTTCGACGCTTTGGGGGGGGGGGGTTCGCTGGGTGTGTGGTTTGTACATGCTTTTCTTTGGTCATGGATGAGATTTCTCGGGTGGTTTATGTGATTTTATTTGTTGCGGCTGTTGCGCTATTGGGGTTGAGGCTGGGGTTGAGGTTTTATGCTGTGCTGGCGTTTTTGTTAACTCTCTGGATGATCCTGGAGGAAGGGAAGAAGGAGGTGGGCGAGCTGTATATCAGATAGAATGAATTTGATCTTCGGATTTCTGTGGGCCCATTCAGGTTTTGTAGCGTGGGTTCTGTCACATTAGTTAGCTTATCGGATCATTGCATCATGCTCTGTTCACTGAGATCCTTGGGAGGATGTTCTCGAAGATTGAACTTGCGGCGTGGATAGGTTAGACGACTGTGGTGGTGGTTCTTCTAACCTAGATCACTGGACCGTCCATAGTACAACTTACTCCTCGCTAGTATACTTAACGTAGGACAACCCGGCGAAATTGGATGGGCTATGGGACAGACTACCTAGTACTCATCGAGACAAGATAGAGCAAAAAAGAAAAAAGGTCAATACCTATCGCTGAATTACTATGTACGAGGAAAGAAATATTAAGAGAAAATAATCGCCATTCCTATCCATACCCATATCAATAGTAAAACTCCTGCTTCGGGCGCAGAAAACCTTCATAACGTATTCGTTCATATCATGCTGAGTTCTGCATTGCATTGTATTGCCTTGTATTGTATCCATTCATCCCATGTCCCATCAATCATAATCCCATGTGAACAATTCGCGGTTCAGTTTGAACGCATAGAAAGAAACGGCAAAGCCCGAAGAAGTAACCCGCATGGACAGAAAGCATAACCTAAGCCAAGACCATTTATTTACAAGCAAGCTCCCCTTGTTCCCTCCTCCATTGGCAGCATCATTGATGAAGATGATTCTGTGTAATGGAGGAGAAAGCGAGAGAGACATATGAAGTGTGCTGCAACCTAACGTCTCGAGTACCGAGTCTCCTCGCCATCACTCTCGCTCAGACTGTCGCGACGACGGCCCCGACCACCTTCCCGGCGGTAGCCTTTGCTCAACCCGGGGATCGGATGGTGATAGCTCTTGGTGCCCGAATCCTCGGTGTCGACGTTGGAATATTGATACTCGGAGCGTGAGGCGGCGGAGGAAAAATCCAACGGCTCGGTGTAGTGGCCCGTCACCGACGGACGCTTGCGGGGACTACTCTGCCGGGACGAGCGGGACGGGCTACTGGTACTGCCAGCACCGCCACCACCACTGTCCGTCGGGGCGTGTCTCCTTCGCTCGCGTCGGCGATTATGTCTTCTGGTCGATGGCTCCCGGATCGTGCGATGGTAATGATAGTCGTCCGCCTGGCTCAGCAACTCCTCACTACCGGCCACAAATGAAAAGTCTCGCCGCTTGCTCTGCCGTCGCTCGACCACGGGATCGTACGCATAATCCCGCACCTGGCTGACCTCGCTCTGCTCGCGGTCCTGCCAGTAACTCGGCGGGTTGGACAGATCGTAGTCACTGCCGTCGTAGTAGGTGGTCCCGTCGCCCTCACGGTTCATGCCGCCGACGCGCGCGGGCTTCTCCTTGCGGTACGCGGCGACGTCCTCGTCGACCTCGTTCTCCCAGTTGGCGGTCATCTCGTCGTCCTTGCGACGGCGCCGGAACTTCTCGCGCAGCCTGCGCCGCCGCTTGCGCTCGGCGCTGCCGCCGGGGGCGCCCGTCTTCTCGGTGATGGTGGTCGCGGTCTCGGTGTACGTGTACCCGTCGTCGCTGTAGCCCTTGTGCACGATGCTGCCGCCGCCGAGCTTGGTGCTCTTGGTCGCGTTACTGAGCGTGCGCCCGTCCGGCCCCTTGCGGCGCAGCACGGTCGACTTGTACTCCTCCCAGTCGCCCTTGCGCCACACGAATCCGCCGTTCTTGGCCCAGAAGAAAAACCAGATCGCCGCCAGCACGAAGGCCGCGCCGAGAATCGCGAAGAGCGCCATCAGGCCCTTCATGTTGATGTTGTGCGCCTCGACGGTGCCGCTGCCGGGGACATATTTGGAGTCGCGGGCGCGGAGGAGGTGGCTGTGCGGGGCATTGCTGCTGGTGCTGGTGCTGTCTTGGAGACTGGGTGGGGAGTACGGTGAAGCGGCGAGTTCGGGGGGGTGGGTGCCTGTGGTCAGGGTTTCGAGGATGGAAATGCCGGGAAAGTCGCCGGCGGTTTGGACGGGAGGCATGATTAGGAAAGTGGCGGTGGATGTCAAGAGCGTGGTGCTCGAGACGGGCACTCTGCGGCTTGGTTAGGTGGATGTTTCTCTAGATAGATGGATGGATGGATGGATGGATGATGATGAAAGGGTAGATGATTGATAGATTGACTGATTGATCTTTGATGGATAGAGATGGTTGTCTGATTGACTTGAGCTGGAATGCGGGATGTCTTACCCACTGGAAGTGACACTTTGGGTATCCTGGTGGGCTCGATCTCAATCACCCGATCCACTTTGAGATGTATGGTATGCTCGGGTACCAGAATCTAGATAGTAGACCGATGGTTGGAATGCAGTGTGCAATGTGGATGTGAGCACAAATGCTAGTATGGTATGCACTACCACCTGTGTTAGTACTGGCTTGCTCACAAGCTTAGAGGATGAAGGCAGAGCAAGAAACAACGCAACGCAAGCGGCAGAACAAGCGAAGCCCAGGCGGAAATTGAGGTGGTTGGGGGGAGGCTGGGGATGACGCTCTTTTGTTTGGGCGATTCCCGTGGCCCCGGCAACTGGCATGACTCAGCAGCCTCCCCTCGTTAGTTATCTTATCGGCCTTTGGTGCCTGAGGCTCCACATCTGTACTGTGCACATACTTTACTTCTATAAAAATTGGAAGTTACTACAACTACTTGTGAAAATCAGAGCAGGCATTGAACATCAGATATCCACTATATCAGCAACTCAGCAAGTAGCCCATCTCTTGAGACTCATACTTTCTACTCAGCAGTTTATCTTTCTAGGCAGAATTGGGCGTAGGTAGTGAGGGTGGATGAGAACAAGGGATCCTGGGTATTACTCCTACGGTGTATCGCCAACACGAACAAGGGTGGTTTCGAGCAACTACTTGATGGTCAAAGCAGTAAGCAAAAGCTGCTGCCTTTGATCCGGCGGCCAGGACTATGCAGGAAGGTAATCACGAGCTTCGGGCATCAATAAATGCTTGGGGGCGCAAGCTTGCGAGCGCCGAAACAGCATGGAGAGAGGTAATCTCACCCACGAGGTTCAGCGATCAATAATCATGCACAGCTAAATTACAGGGGCAAGAATTGGCTGAGTCGAATACCAGATGCAGACGGAACGCCCCGCTGATGCACTGTGTCCCCTTCAGGATCATTGTCATTGACAGTTTGGCAGCACGCATAAATGACGCAGAGAGAGCGATAGAGTTTCGTCAACCAGCCTCCACTGGACGAAATTCACCCGGTCTATCTGAGCCAGCGTTTCGGACGTCAATTTTTCCGTGTGTGGGCGCATTGCACACCGGTAGATGTATCCATGGTTTAGGCAGGGTTACCACAGTCTGGACAGCTTGATCTTCATCCTTACCAGATGTATGGAGACACGACCCAACATCAGTCGCTGTGGTGTGAGTCACAGGGTTCAGGGTCTAGCAGACTTTAGGTCATGTGATTAAAGGGGGAATAATGCCCGAGAAAGCTTTTTGTGAAGCAATCGGAACGGAGGGTGTTCATTCATCGGAGTACAAGCCTTCTAGGAGACTTGAATTAATGATGGGTGAACCCGGATAAGTCAAGGTTTCTTGTTGAGCGGAGAGACTTCTCGGGTTCTCAATAGGTTAGTGCAGTATGAATAACGAAGCAAACATTACAGTAAACATTGATTCCGCCTGGCACTTCCGGCCTGGAGAATCGGAGGGTAAGTGAATGGCTCACTTACCGGGATCATGTTTTTCTAGCGCGCTTCGACACAGTCTTCCATGCTGCTCGCTCAGCGGGCCTCCCCACAAGGATAGCCAACTTATCAGCCCATCAGGAGAACACCGCAAGCGGGGGGTGAGGACAGATCTTGGAGGATTGGAAAGGGAGTGGAAGCAATTCTTTGTGTCATGACGATGACATGAGCGAAGTAGATCTGCCTGTTGAGTCGGTGGGATATACCGGTTTTCTCTATCCTTGTTTGCTGGGCTAGATCAGGTCGGCTGAAGAATGCCTGCCCATTGAGCTCGAATAAACTCAATAATGAACTTTGTAACCTAGATCCTTGATGCTGAGGGGTTTCTTGCCTCCCCTTTCTTTCCTTTTGTTCAAACTGACTCTCGTCTCCGGAATGAGAGAATTTCACCAACGAGGTGTGCCCCGCGGGGTGGAGGCCACCGTCATTGGGCCGCAATGGGAAAGTTCCTTGTCATCGATCGGGACTTTTGGGCAGCCAACAGGACGGGATTTTCTCGGAGGGGCCAGGTAGGTACAAACCGTAGCAGATTGAAGACCTGTGACGGGCGACAAGAGTCATCCAGAGAGGATCACGAGGAGATTGAGTAAAGATCGATGAAAATGAAGGTGGAAGAGTAGTGCAGAGTACCTAGAGTAGAGTAGTGTAGATGTTGGGAGAAACTCCGGATGGTCCGTGGATGGAATGGATGGAATGGATGGAATCCGCTCAGACCCAGGGGTTCTTCCCGTCGAGATGGAGCCGGGTGGGGATCCTCGCAAACCATCGCTTCTTATTTCCACCCCCTCCCCCGGCCATCCTCCCATCCTCCCACCGCCGCCCTAACCACGCCCTCCACCGCGATTACGGATCGATGGTACTCAGGTTCAACCTTACTTTTACTCTTAGATTCTGAGATATCTCAATCTCATCTGTCCGCCTAAGACACTAGTGGTTGGGTAACTCCAGCTCACCGGACCGACTGAGACAGAACACCGGAATGATTGACGATCTTACCTTTTCGTTGCCTGCGAGACATGTCCGGGTCACGAGGCACTATTGTTCATTCCCACGATCATGAGGTTACACCAAGGCGACATGGCAATAAAAACTGGCCGTTACTTCAGCGTGAGAGGCATAGCGGTATAGCGTACTCTCGTGGTATTATGCATAGCCACTATCTTTCAGGAGCCTATCAGCGCGGGCTGCAAGCAATCTATTTGGTGGTGGGCTGCTATACATAGCGATCTCGAATTGATTTGCACTCAAGAGATATTCTTTGCTTCAACTATACACGGACGCTATGGTATGTCGATCCGCACGTGTTATGTGCTCCCCATTGAGGAGACTGATTTGCACATCCGGTGATGAGCATTTCTGAAATGGCTCTAAAGCGAAAATGAGGTTATCGCGAATCTGCAAGGGATGGAATGATCGGAGGAGATCCTCAGGATGGTTGAGGCTCCCCCAAACAAGCCCATTGATGTCACTGATCCATGTGTGGTGTGCCGTGCGTGGGGAGCCGTGCCCCAGGATGAATTGCCACGCACTGAGGGTCTGAAACCGCACGGACAAGCGCCTGGGGTATCGCGGATATCTAGTGTTAATTACCAGCCGTTCCATGGAAAGCATGGATGCAGTATACTCCGGTTATCAAAGTCACCCCTGAAGCTCTTTGCGACCGATCTAATGACCCTTCATCATCGTGCCGCAACTCGCCGGTGATGGGTATCCTGATACGCCAATGGAAGAATTCCGATTTCACCTTGCAGCTGCAGGCCTCTTGCTCCCTGTCGGTCGGAAGTCGCAGTGCGGAATATACCATGATCGCATCATTATGAAATTAAATTCCATTCTACCATGCCCGTGACGTATGCAAGACAGAAGACATATCGCAGATAGAGATGACGGCTCTTTCCTCAACATGCTCGACGACCTGTCAATGAGGAATCTGCGATTGATGGTTATGAAGGATACAATAGCTCATTGAGTCATGCTGATCGAGTCATCTCGACCAGGATGATCGAGGTGACCAGAGTAGGGTTTTTCGGGTTTTTCTACTTTCTCGTCCTCGTCTGCTGTATCTCCCATCAGTCTGTCAGTCATCAGTAACCAAATGCATAATAAAAAAAATGTTAGCGGCCGATCAGGCAGCGGCCAGCAGCCACTCAGGGGAGAACCCCCACCACCTCCTCTTATTTTCTTCTTCGATTTGCTCCGTCTCGATACCTTTCCATCCGGATTGGAGAGAACCATCCAGGAGATGAGTGACAAATCTGATGGGGGGCCAAAAGGCAGCGGTTGCGTGAATACATGGGAAGATTTGGGTAAGTACTTTACTATACTCATCCGCCGTATATACTTTGTAGTTCTAAGAGGCCGCGGGTGAAACAATAGCCTCTGGACAGGGATGTGTTCGGATGTGAGATGGAACCACTTTCCGTTTCTTTATCTTGATCGAATTTTATATTCCGTCCTCGCTCGGGTTGCGATGATTGATTCCTTCCGGCTTCAACTCTTGCTCGTGCTGACTTTGGCGTTGGAATCGTCGGTATGCTCATTATAAATCCACAAGACGACGGGTGAGATAGTAACTGGAAGAAGCAATTCACAGTAGATCAAAAGAAAAAGAAAAAAGAAAAAGATAAAATAGATAAAATAAATGAAGTAACAAATGCAAACACATAGAGCGGCAGCGGGCTCAGCCGTGTGTGTCCATACCGTGTGTAATCATTCAGGTATACATTCAGTCGGTACCAGGGCTTTTCCCTCAATCTTTTCGTTTTTCCTTTTTCCCCCATTTTCTTTTATATGATAATTGTAAATGTAAAAATCATGTAAATATAAGAAAAAGGCAAGGAAAAGAACTGACTCAACCTACTCTTCATCTACAGTACACTGATGATTGAATGCAATTAAAAACCGAGGCGACGCACAGCACAGTTTTCCAACCCATCCAATCCTCCGTACCTTACCTACCTACTCTACTTATTTCCATACCTCTTTCCTCCTTCCTCTCTTGCTGCTACTACTACCAACTCAACCATTGGCAGTTCATCAAGTCAGTCAATCAATCCCGGATCTCCTATCGCAATCCCTCCTTCTCTCAGCTTCCCCCCCCCCCGGCCTTCTCCTCATTGTTTTCCCGTCTCCTGCTTTTCCCCCTCTTTGATTTTCCCAACTTCTACTACGATAATCTCTTATCGTCTGGTGTGGAAAATTCCCACCTGTTCTTCCCTTACTCCACTTAGTCTTTTGTTTTCCCTCTCTCTCCCCACCATTTTTTTCCCTGCGCATTCCTGCTTTTGCTCCTAGTCTACCTAGTACTTACTCTCTTCCCCTCCTTCTGTCATCCTCCCCTCCCCCTCGGACCTTCAAACCTAGACTGTCAAATTCTACTGGAAAGTCCCTTTGACCCTCTGCATCTTCTTTCCCCCCTTTTTCTCTCTGCATCTTCCCATCGCCTTGGTGACTGTCATCAATCATCGCGTCCCAAGGCCGACGACCACGACTGCTTAGCCAGACGCACCAGTCATCAAAGCCGTCGGTTACACGCTTTTGCTGGGTGCATTGAAGGACTGCAGCCCCGTCGGTTGTTTGGTTAATCGATCATTCTATTCTAACTCCCCTCCACTCACCGGCTGCCAACCGTTCACTGCAGCTTTCTTTTCCGGTTGACCCACGCTGGGCTTGTCCACTACGGGTTATCTATTCAGTCTAGTCTCAGTCTTACTGACTGTCCGCCGCCCGACTCGTCGTCTCTTTATCACCAGTCCTCCACCACCACTTTCCCAGTCCACTTCGTCGCCTGCCCCCCCCTTCCACCACGAACCAACCCCGTTCTTCCTTTCCTCTTTTCGATGGAGACATTGCAGACTGTGGACGACGACTATTCTTTGTGCCCACCAACGACTCCTCGTTGACACTCAACGATCTAGACGCTCTGTCTTTCGGACTGTTGTCTGGCCCGTCTGCATCTTCCGGTTGTTTTCTAGAGGCGACTGCCGCCAAGTGGATTTGCAGCCCTCACTCCGAACTAAGAGGGAAGAGGGAGAAACAAATCACTAACCGCGCCTAAAGAAAAAAAAAATCAGAGGGACGAAAAAAAAAAAAAAAAGAAAACGCTAAAAAAAAATCTCCCAGGCACTGATTGAGTCATATTCGGATGAGCAGCAGTTGGTGGCTGCTGTAGGCCATCAAGCAAGCATCTGAAAGCCTGTTGGAGCACCACGTTTCAGGTCATCCACCTTCGTGCCTTTCCCACCCCCCTAAATCAAGCCAGACCCCTCTTCCCTTTTCCCCTCTTAGGGTTGGGCCTTAGGCCGCCTTCCAGAAGTCATGTCTAGCAAAGTCCCCCACGCCGCCTTCTGTGAGGAATATGACGAAGACACTCATGTTATCCGCCCCGAAACCCGTCAAGTCGCCAACCTCACTACCAAGCGTCATAAACAGGCCGTGAGATCGCCTGCAGAGCCCCTGGTCGACGTTGCAAGTGACTCCGGGTATTCCAGTCGTACCGCCGCCACCGTCAACAGCACCCAATCTGGGCCGTCGGGCCGGAAGAGTCCTGTCCCTCATAAGCCAGACACCACCCTCAAACGAGCTGAGCTCGAACGCGTCCGATCCAAAGGCCACAAAGAACGTCCTTCCAAGGACCGAATTGCTCGTCCACCACGTGAGGACAAAATGCAGGTCGGAAGTTTTCCCACTGTGGGCCACCCGCACCCTCATGCCCATGCTCAGCGTTCCCCGTCCAGGTCCCGCCGACGTGATACTGCTCAGTTCAGGCACTATCCGGGGCAGTGTTATGATTGCGATCAGGGGCTGTACCATTCTGCCTCCACACCTCTGGAAGCAAGACCGATGGATTATTCGTATTTCATGCCCCCGCCTCCTCCAGGTCATGAATATCCCCCTCCGGCACCGCAAAACTCCCGATACCCTCCTTCTGTGATTCAAGACGTCAACGTCACCCGCAGTAGCCGTCCTCATGCTCGGGGAAGCTCGTCCGTTTATCATCCTAACAACCGGCCGGCGAGCTTCCATGGTACCATGCCTGGAATGAATCAAATGATGTACCCTCCGGGTTCCATGAGTCGCTACGACCACGGTCCGCCGCTGTCTTCTTCGGCGTATGCCAACGCCCCGCCGTATGCCGCCTCTCATTACCCGCAACAGCCTCCCTACTATGGCGTGTCCGATTATGCAGCCCCTCCTGACAGTCGACAAGAACGATCGGCTTCGAGGTCTCGAGACCACGGTCGGGGCCGCCGGTCGTCGGCATACGCACCTGCTATGGACTACGATGAAGCAAGCTTTGATGAAGATGAAGATGATGATGATGACGACGTGGTGGACATTCCTCCTCCGCCTCCTCCTGCCCCGGGCCGACAGACACGGCCTCGGATGTCCGCTCATTCCTCTCATGATCGCGATGAAGATTACTATCGCATGCCGCCTCCACCCACGAAGCACAAGGCGGCTCCGCACATCATCCAGAAACGGCCCGACCCGCCTCGCAAGTCCGTGACTGCCCCATTGATTCCTTCCGACCGTCGCTCCTCTCGATCTCTAGACCTATCGGAATTAGGCGACGCTTTGCCTGAATACGGGTATCGGCAGTCTCCTCGCGAGACCGTGATCCCCGAACGCAGCCGAAGTAACCGCGACAGCCGTCGCTCTAACGCTTACCACGAGCCTGCGCGACCGGCACGAATCGCTGTCGAGAATTCTCGTCGGCGCCGGCCCACAGTATACAACTACGGCGATGATGATGACGAGGACGAGGATGATGAAATTGTCGAGAAGCAACGAGAGGCGGAGGAGTACCAAGCCTCCCGGTCGGGCAAGCCATCGGCGCCTGTTCCCCTGACCGAAGACGCTTTGTACAAGGCGAAGACTTCTCAACGCGCTGAAAGCGACAGCGGCAGCCAGAAGAGTCGCTCGAACAGCAGCCGTGGCAGTGACGCTCGGACTCAAACTGGAAGCAACAGCGGCCTCAAACCGGAGGAGGACAACAATATTATCATGACGATGAACGGTGTGACTATGAGCTTTAGCCAAGGATCCGTTGGGGGCAAGAGGGTAATGCTTCGGACCGGGGACAATGGTGCAGTGGAGCTGAATATCGAAGGCAAGCACCGACCGAAGAAATACCTCACTGGAGGCTCTGACTACACCGGAAGTGTTTCTCGAAGAGAATTGGAAGACCCGCGCCGAGCCATGAGTGACCGGAAATCAGACCGAGCTAGTCGACGTTCGAGTCGGTCCACCTACAGCGGTCGATACTAGATAAGAGGCTTGAATTGAAGTCTTATGATGCGATCCATACTGGTTTTACAATCTCCGGGTTATGCGTTACTTTTGCGATCTTACAAAAGTTATGGTTTAGATCTCTGTCTTTGACAACGCATATCGGTTCTTCAAAAAGTTCTTGTGTTTTTTTTTGTGGTGGGCTGAATAATTGGCAATGAGCCTTTGGTTCTGCTCAGATGGTATTGAAGGGATCACCACAAACAAAGGAAAAAATGTTTGGATGTTTGATATCGACATTGGGCGGTTATGCTTTTGGTCCTCTTTGCTTTGGTTTGGTTTGACTTCGGTGTTCAAAAAGAGGAAGGGCGGGTTTGACGGCTCTGACCGATCACGTCCATCATGGCGACATGATTGTACGATTCTTGACGACCTGCACGATTTTCTCGATGTCTTATGTTTATGTTCATGCTTGGCTCAGCTCTAGCTGATGCGATACTCCTTGCTCATGTCCATGCCTATGCTCATGTTTATGTTTTATGTCTCATGCCTGATGTTCGTCTTTCTAATGTGTTGATGTGCGTGATGGGCGTTTGTATAAATTTCCTTCTTCGGACTCGTTTCTATTTTGTGGCATTTGTTAGGGCAGCTTGGAAGGAACGAGTATGAATGAGCGCAGAGGAGAGGAGCGAGGTATATACCCCGGCGATTGCTGCTTTACTTTGCATGGTTTCAACTTGATGCATCATCTATTTTGTTTCCTTTCTTCTTCCTATATATCCCTGCGTCATGTTTTACATATTCCCCTTCAGTTATTACTGCGTAGCGTTCAACACTGATTATGTACCTTGTTCTATCTATTAATCTGTGAAACCTGTCTTGCCGGTCGATGTTGAGTTGTGGGTTAAGACGAACTTGCGGCCTGGATTTCCTTGATGTTTGATAAATACCCTGATCATGTTTCAACATCATGCGTGGTCGCTACATGAAACTCTATATTTGACCGAATGTCTCTATATTGACTTTGTACCTTTGAGGGAGGCGCTTTATTCATAATTAATGATTTACTCGAAGCAAGTCTGTGCATACCTCTTTCCCTTTTGTTTCCTTGCTCTGGATTCGGAACCTTGTCATGCATGTCAGTGCCAATGCCACTGTCGCGCCTGCCTGTCTTGTCGGCAATGCGGGATACAGAGATACCTACCCAGTAGCTTTCAGATTGCTCATTGAGGATGCCTACTTTACACGATGTGCATGTATGCCTATCTTGCTGAATTCTTACATTCCCCGCGCCCAACTCACAGTCTGACTATCGCTGGCCTGATCCCGATTCCAGTTTCTGTGCCACTGCCTTCTCTCGTTGCACGTCGCATCCACAAAGAAAAAGATGCAGCCCAGCGAGGTCGAGGCGATCAGCTCTTTCTTCAGTGACGCCCTCGGCTCCCCCCGAACGATGCGCAGTGGTGCGCCCACGCCGCCGCCGCTGTCGGCCTCCGTGCGGCTCCCGGTACCCTCATGGGATGAACCGGAGGTCATCCTATACGCATCGCACATCCCGACCACCTACGAAATGGACATCGACAGCCGCCCGCCTGAGCCCGACGTGACCCCGCATCGCGAATGCCAGCAGCCAGTAGCAGCAGCAGCAGCAGCCATCAATCTCACCGGTCCGGCCCAGCAGCCAGTAGCAGTAGTAACCAACAGTCTCACCGATCCCGCCGGACCGATCGACAAACGAACGTTCTCGACCTTGGCTACTGCTGCTGGTAGTAGTAGCCGCAGTAACAGCAGCAGTGGCGGCATCAGAAGCAGCAGCATGAGGCAGGAAGTCCGGCTGACCTGCGCGCAGGTCGAGCAGATCCACGCTACCAAGGAGGTGTTGATGGCGCAGCAGACCGAGATCGCGGGCCTGCGGACCAATATTCAGGAGATCCACGCTGAGATGCGGCGGGAGCGGCTCGAGGCAGAGAGGAAGGTGAGGAAGCACATGATCTCGGGGTGGATGACCACTGATGTTGATGCGGATGGCGATGCCCGGGTTGTTTATGATACCTATCGTGATGGTGCTTGGACGCCGGCATTAATGAAGGTGGGTTTGCTCCCTGCAGAGCTGGAGGCGGAGTACGAACGTACCGATGGGGCGTTGACGGAGCGGGAGAACCAGCTGGTCCAGTCGATGGAGGACTTTGCGGGCCTGCTGGATCAGCTGCGCGGGTCTTTTTCCAGAGGCGTTCTCACGGAGGAGGACTATGAGGGCGCCGCTATGGGGAATGACGGAGCTGAGGGGCTTCTGGGTCGCAGCGAGCATGCTTTGAAGGCGTTCTCCCAGTCTGCAGCCGCACAGAGGCTGCGAGAGCTGCGGGGTCAATTGGTCGAACTTGACGGGCAATTGGTCTCGATCGTGGAGCTCCAGAATATTGAAAATCCCTTGGTCTCAGACAGAGGGCTCGACAGGGATGCGATGGATTTTCTGCGAACCTACGATGAAAGACGGATGAATCTGTTTCATGAGTACCGGGCCAGACTGTCGGATCTTGAGACCCTCACGGAAGGGCATGGCGATACGCTGCAGCCGTCCTCCTGTGAGCTCAAACAGAGCAGCATCTTTGAGCCGGTGCTGATACCGAGCTCGCCGTCGAAAGTCTTCGTCAACCAGTGGCTTCTGTTCCAGCTGAGGACGTCGTCCTTGGAAGAGGCGCGCATCCGCTCGCTCCCGGAGTGGGAGACACTGCGTGGCCAAGGGTGGACCAACGCCGGCATCAGACGCCTGGCGCTCACGCTCTGGTTCTCGGATGACACCGTCCTGCCGTACAGAGATTCCAAGACCCCAAGTCAGTCCTTCAATTTGAGCGAGATCCCCAGCATTGACTTCGGGGTCAGTCCGAGGAAGAGACGAGCCAGATCCACCGGCTTGCAGGACCTGGAAACTCAGAGGGAATCTACGCAGTCTCCGGTCAAGTTTGGTCGTTATGATACCACTTAGAACAACCCCTTCCTTTCAGGTTATTGTTTTGCCTCGGTGCAGACTGAGTTTGGATTTGTATCCCTTATTCGCTGTGGGCGGGACGACTTTGGATTCTTGCATGCGGAATTAATATGTAGCGTTTGTATGATATCGATGGTTTGGCCTGATCCGCTTGCAGTCTCGTTACCTTCGTTATTGATTTAGACGATAGCTTGGAAATCGAGACGATGTCTTCATAGTTTTGCCTATTGGTCGTTTGATTGTCGCTGTCGCTGTCATGGTGGAGCAGCATGGTGCGCAGACTGTGTCGAATCCGATCCATTATTCGATGTGACTATTTGGTATCCAGCACAGGTAGTATTGAGCTCGGCTTGAGCCTTGTTGACCATATTCACGCTGTTATTAGTGTATAGATGGAGAGGGCTGATATGATAAGAGTGGATCGAGGCAAGTGGGGACCCGCTAAAAATACTGCCTCGGAAAATCTCACCGCCCGACAGAATTTCCCAGCCCGCCGCCCTCCACGAAAACTCTCCCCAAGTTATATCGTCAACCTTCAAAACACCTCCCCCTCGAAAAGACACGCACGATCTTTTGTCTTTCCAGTGCTGTCTGTCACAATGAAACGCAAGTTGGACGCCAACGACGTGCCCTCCCCGGAGGGCGCCGAGACCACCGCCGAGACCCAGACCCAGACCCCCGAGGTCAAAGATGCCGACTTCGAAACCCTCAATCTGGATCCGCGATTGCGCCAAGCCCTGATCAAAGAGAAGTTCACCAAGCCGACGCTGGTCCAGGCCAAGGCTATCCCTCTGGCGCTTGCCGGAAAAGACATTCTTGGTGAGTTTTCCTTCGATTCTTCATGATCGTATTCAACTAAGCTGACCATGAACCAGCCCGGGCAAAGACCGGCTCCGGCAAAACCGCCGCCTACGTCCTCCCTATCCTCCAGACTATCCTTCAGAAGAAAGCTGTGAGTTTTTTTTTGTCGGTCCTTCCCAGCCTGTGGACTCGAAACTGACGGACGTTTGCCCAATGGTTTAGGCCGACCCTTCCCTGAAAGCGACGACGGGGCTGATCCTCGTGCCCACGCGGGAGCTGGCGGAGCAAGTGCAGAACGTGGTGACGACGTTCGCCGCCTTCTGCGGCAAGGAGATCCGGTCGGTGAACCTGACGCAGAAGGTGTCGGACGCGGTGCAGCGCACGCTGCTGGCCGACTACCCGGACCTGGTGGTGTCGACGCCGGCGCGCGTGATCGCCAACCTCGGCAACTCGGCGCTGTCGCTCGAGAATCTGGCGCACCTGGTGATCGACGAGGCGGACCTGGTGCTGTCGTACGGGTACGACGAGGACATCAACGCGCTGGCCAAGGCGATCCCGCGCGGGGTGCAGACCTTCCTCATGAGTGCGACGCTGACCTCGGAAGTGGACACGCTGAAGGGTCTGTTCTGTCGGAATCCGGTGGTGTTGAAGCTGGAGGATAAGGAGGAGCAGGGGGCGGGGGTTAGCCAGTTTGTTGTCAGGTTAGTTTTTTTGGGAGGTGGGGGGGAGGGGGCAGAGGATACACCGTTTGCTAATCTTTATGTCGGTCTAGATGCGCCGAGGACGAGAAGTTCCTCCTCACCTACGTCATCTTCAAGCTGCAGCTGATCAAGGGCAAGGTGATCATCTTTGTCGGGGATGTCGACCGCTGCTACCGCGTCAAGCTGTTCCTCGAACAATTCGGCATCAAGAGCTGTGTCCTCAACTCCGAGCTGCCCGTCAACTCGCGGATCCACGTCGTCCAGGAATTCAACAAGGGCGTTTACGACATCATCATCGCGGCCGACGACCAGGAGGTTCTCGGCGCGAAGAAATCCAAGAAGACGAAAGACACGACCGCCGACGCAGTCGAAGAAGACGAGGAAGGACTCGTCGGCTCCAGCGACGACGAAGAGGACGTCGAAGACACCACCACCACCACCAAGAAAACCAAGAAACCCACCACCCCCGAAACCAACAGCAAACGCCGCAAACTCTCCACCAAGGACAAGGACTACGGCATCTCGCGCGGCATCGACTTCCAGAACGTGGCGTGCGTCCTCAACTTCGACCTCCCCACGACGGCGAAATCCTACACGCACCGCATCGGCCGCACCGGCCGCGCCGGCAAGACGGGGATGGCGCTCTCCTTCGTCGTGCCTGCCGACCAGTACGGCCGCCACAAGCCGACCTCCTTCCCGACGGCCAAGCACGACGAGACGGTCGTCGCGCGCATCGTCAAGCGCCAGGCCAAACTCGGCCACGAGGTCAAACCCTACCACTTCGAGATGGCCCAGGTCGACGCCTTCCGGTACCGCATGACCGACGCCCTGCGCGCCATCACCCGCCTCGCCGTCCAGGAGGCCCGCGCCCGCGAGATCCGGCAGGAGCTGATCAAGAGTGAGAAACTCAAGCGCCACTTCGAGGAGAACCCGGACGAGCTGCGCCAGCTCCGCCACGATGGCGAGCTCCGCGCCGCCCGCATCCAGCCCCATCTGAAGCACATCCCCGAGTATCTGATGCCCGCCAAGGGACGCAAGGGCATCTCGTCCGAGACGGTCGGGTATGTGGGCTTCCGGAAGGTCGGCGGCGAGAATCGCATCCGCAAGGCCCGCGAGAAGAATCGCAGCAAGGGGAAGGGCGGCAGGAAGCCTGGCGGTGGTGGGCGGAAGGTCGATCCGTTGAAGACGTTTAATCGCGGGAGGAAGTAATTTATTTTTACTGGAGGGTGGTGGCATTTATGCTTGGATGGAGGGGGTTCTGCACTGTACTGTACATAATTTGGGATTTGGTTCATAGAAAGAAAAGTTTCGCTTGGGATGCATGGTTTATGGTGATCGCGGAGTAGCCGTAGCTGAAGGACTGAAGATACATCTTCTATTGTTGCTGCCGCTGCTGCTGCTGCTGTATATTCTACCTTGCAGTTATAGATTCTTCCTATTCACAAGCGGGCGTCCGATGGATGCGTCTATGTATACCGACCGACTCAAGGCATTCACGCTACGCCAAGTCCGGTGTATACCACGCGACCCCATGTATCCACACATCCTACTACACAGTATATACTGCACCATAAACCCCCAAAAACGCTACTCCCGCACCCCAGAAATCAAGGCAACAGATCCAACCACCTCGGCCCAAGCAACCTCTTCAACGCGTCGTCCTCCAACCCCTCCAACCCGAACGAGAACGTCACCCACTTCCCCTTGCCCTCCTTCCGAACGCGCTGCACGTTCCGCTGCACCTCCTTCGCCGTCTCCACGATCTGGCGATATCGCTGCACCTCCTTCATCCGCCGGTACTTGATCCTCTCCTCCTCGACGTCCCAGGGAAGATTATCATCATCATCATCGCCGCCGCCGGCAGCACCCGCCGGAGGGGGGGCATGCATAGACGCAGCCAGGGTTCGTCTCGCCCCACCTACACCTTCTACTAGGGTAGCAGGTCTAATGCCTTCCGGAACTAGCTGACGCTGCTGCTGCTGCTGACGCTGCTGCTGCTGCAGTAGCGCAGCATCATCATCGCCCTCAAGCGAAGGAACCCACCCGGCGCCCAACCGGATGAACTCGACCTCGCGCCAGGAGCCATTCCACTCCGGACCAGAGGGATACACCTCGCCGTCCGGGCCGTGGCCGACCCAATTCAATGCGGGGAGCCACTCCCCGCAGCCCTCGAGGTCCAGCCACTTCAGGCAGTAGGTGGCGCGCGACAGCCGCCGCAGGAGGCCCGCGACCTCGGCCCAGTTGTTGTCGTTGGCGGCGTAGGCGTCCGTGCCGCCGTAGGCGAAGGTGAGGGAGCGGTGGGCCGGGTGGCGGACGGTGGCAGTGCGGGCGTGCGGGGTGGCGGTCGGGAGGGGCCAGTGGGCCAGCGAGAGGTGGGTGATGCGCGTGAGGCGCGCGAGGAGCGTGATCAGGCTGTTCCAGTTCGCGGAGGTAGGGGTCGGGTGGGCGAGGGAGAGGTACCGGAGGTTGGTGAAGCGTGGGGTGCGCAGGGTTGTTGTTGTTAGGGATGTGGGTGTAGTAGGTTGTGGGATTTGGTGTTCGTCGTATTCGTCCTCCCAGGAGGATGGGACGGCGGCGGTGGGCTCGCTGAGTGTTTGCTGGAGAGCAGGGGTGGATTGCTTGGTCGTGGGGAGCAGTTCGCTGGAGATTTGCTTGAGCGTGAGCCAGCGGCCTAGGGCGCTGCTGAGGTCGAGGCGGGTGATTTCGTCGTCATTCTCCTGCGCTGCTCCTGCTGCTCCTGCCTCGGTGCTGTGCTCATGAGAAGCCGCGAAGTCATCGTCCAACTGCTGCTGCTGCTGCTGCTGCTGCTGCTGCTGAGAGCGAGGGAACAACGGCCGCAGCCCCAAACCAGACGGGATCTGGTACTCCCGAGTGTATACACCAATGAAACTGAGCAATCGGACCTTCACATGATTAGGCAAGTCCGCGAGAAACGGGCCGTCGTACTCGAGATGCCACGCCCAGTAGAGCGCCATGGACTTCAGCACGGTATGCTGCAGACTTCCCCTGGCGGGGAACGTCGTGCCGGGCAAGCGCTCCTCCAGTCGGTAGATGGTGCGACGACTCTCCGTCGCACCATCTTCGTCCAGCTCCTTATTTTCCTCCTCCCGACCGTAGTTTCCCACGAGCCAGCTCTGAGGGGCGGGGGGTCCGGCGGCGGTTCGTCGCGTGCCCCGTCGTGCGCCGACGACGGCGTGGCGGCGTGAGCCCGGCCGCGGGCGCGGGGGCGGGGTCTCCGGGAGCTCGAGGAGATTGCGCAGAGACGGGTGGACCGAGCGGGGGACCACGAATCGATAAGGGTTTTCAGGTCCGTGGTCGGGGGTTCGTGTGATTTGGGTGCGTCGGAGGTGGTCGATCAGCTCGTTCACGGAGGGTTGTTCTTGTTGCTCGGCGGGGGAGGAGGTGGAAGACGGGCGGAGGCGATCATGGTCTTTGGGGCGGGAACCACCAGAGGCCAGAGTGTGATGGGCTGTGCTCGCTGGCTTCGCATAGGCATTCTTTTTAAACTTCTTGGGCATAGGGGATAGTGGTGGTGGCGGTGGTGGGTGGCATGGAGTGTGATTGAAATGGTGAGTGTAGGAGGTGGAAGCGGAAGTTAAATTAACATTGGTTATTGTCAAGAAACAATTGACGTCGGCGGGTTGAAGTTAAGTTGCGGAGCGGAGTTAACTTGTCAGCAAGGCTGGAAGGAACAATGAGTCGAATTGACTCACGGTGGGCCTGGCCTGGCCTGGCCTGGCCCGACACATCCTCCATTGGCTGACTGACACACTGGCTTGATAACAGGTATGTTTTATCGTGAATCTGTACAGTACATGCTTCGTCTATCAAATATGCTCTAATTTACACTGAAAATGGTTTTGGTGTGTCGCTGTAGTTGCTTCAAAGATCGCGCACCCAAGAATCATCCAACTTCTTCCCCTCCCGATTGGGGCCTTCTCGAATCCACGTTTCAGCGAGACCCGCCTTGGGGTCTTCATCCGAGTGGCCTCGAGACCGCCGCACCTCGAGAACCAGGTTCCGAACCTTCATGGTAACCTCCTTGCGCAGCTCAACCGCCTCCGTCCCGTACAGGAGCTCGTCATTCAGCACTCCGAGCGGGAGGTCGCGGGTGTCGGGCGATGTGCGCTCCGCCTTGGCCCTGATCTGCTGCCACTTCCTCCGCGACTCGCCGAAGACGGCTTCGGTATCGACCTTCTTTCCGAACGTGATGCTGACCTCCTTGCCGACCCGAGGCAGGAAGCGCGGGAACTCGCGACTCTCGTGCATGACCTGGTCGAAGCCCTCCAGCCAGATGGGCACGACATCGGGACATTCACTGGCCTCGAGGATGAGCCGAGCGACCCCCCACTTGAAGTACCGCATCGTCTTGTTGGGCGCCTGGTGGATCATGCCCTCGGGGAAGATGTGGAACCAGGAATAGGAGTTGCAGGCGAAGGAGGACGGGGACAGGTGGGAATCGTGGCCGTCGGTCGTGAACGCCATCGGGAGATCCGAGAACGGGTCGACGCAGACATTCTGCAAGCTCCACGATTGCCGCTCGGGGCGGGCGAGATGGGGATCGGCGGCGAAGGGGCCCTTTGACAGCAATCGGATCGCCTGGGTGACAACGGGTTGTGCCAGACCACCGTGTGGCGAATGGGCCAGTCGATGGGTGGGAAGGACCTGGCCCATTGTAAAGAACAGCGCCAGGGGTCTGATGTCGATTCCCTCACATTAGCCCACCACCCTTACCATTGCCAATCTCGGTGGAAATGCCCAAGAGCGCATACCTGGTCTGGTAGCAGATATCATGGCTCCCAAAACCCCATCGTTTATTCGACGAGGAAAAGGTCAGCCAGTATCGCATAGGAAGAAACCCCCACATGATCGGATCATCCATCCTGCTCGGGGTGTCGCGTCGCGACCATGATCAGCCATCTCCATTGTAAGAAGTAAATTGGAATCGCCTCGGACCTCAAGGCGCATTTGTACGCACGTACACGCTAGTATGGTTCGAAACTATTGCAGGAGAGCATAGAATTAGCCACTTCTGTTCGAAGCCTTGGCGCAACTGCGCGACAACAGGATCCGGGAGGAGAAATTACCTGTTAACAACCCTCTTGTCCTCTGGGCCGGATCACGTCTCGAATCGAGCAACTCCAGAAATGGCTCCAAGCCGTATACCTCGGGCTTACTGCACACGTACAGAAACGACCGGCACAACGATGCGACCCCCAGCATGGTCGTGGCGGACAGAGTCCTCCATGGGAGCGAGGGGGCCTCCGCCGTTGCGCCGGCGTCCGTCGTCGAGCGCGACATTTGTACTGTATGTGTGTAAACTCCGTAGTAGATTTAGTAGTTTGGCCTTCTTACGGGTTCAACCGCGCCCGCATCCAAGAACTCAAAACTCTCAGAGGAAAGACAGAAGAGAAAACCCAAAAGTCAAAGAGATAAATAATCTAAATCACGCACAAAAGGGAAGAGATCCCGAAAACCGACAGCGTGCGACCAAGTAGCGCCTTCATTGGGCGAAAACAAAATCGAGGGAAAAGAGAGAGAGTGAGAACTTGGAAGCAGAGAGAGACAGAGACGGTCCCGCGGAGGTGAAGAGAGGGCACGGACCAACTTTCCCAAACCTCGACGGGATTTTCGTCCGCTCCTCCACCTCCAAACCCGCTCAACGCTATCTATCCCACATCTTCCCTTTCTCTTCCAACTCGGTGTGTGTGTGTGTGTGTGTGACGCTTTATTCAAGATGATGTTCAAGCCCTCATCGCCGCTCCTCTCGGGTCTTCTCTGGTGAGTTCGCACTTGTTTCCAGACGCCCCCTCCTCCGATCGAATTCCGCAATCTGTCTCTCTCCGTCTCCTTCCTGTCGACAGTCAACACCGCTAGCGATCCCCTCTCCACCCAAATCCCACAAAGCAATAACTAACACCAACCCTTGACAAACAGGAAGATCCCCTGGCGCATCTCCGCGCCCCAGAAAGCCCGCCAGCGGAAGCGCCTCCGCGCCGTCGATCGCGTCGTGGACACCGTGAGCGCGGCGCTGGCCCGGAACGGCCAGACGGCCAAGCCCGTGACGCGGTGGTTCAACGAGATGCCCCGCGAGGAGGAGATGCTGCCCAAGGACAAGTACACCATCTTCGACAAGAAGGAGAAGAAGTACCGGAAGGGGATTCACAGTGAGTTTCTTCAGCCTTCAGCAGGCCCTCGATCAAGGCTTTCTGTCGACCCAACAGCATTCCGGAAAGGAGGAAAGAAAGCTAACCTGCATCCCAATTCCACAGAGCTGCCCAAGTGGACGCGAGTCAGCCAAAGAGTCAACCCCCCTGGTTTCTAAATGGTTCGTTTACTGGATTATTTGCGCCCTCCAGAAACGTATCATCCGCTATGACAAACAACCTTCGTCTCACTACCGAACCTCTATCTCGCACACAATGATTTGGAGTTCGCAACGCTGTATTATACACCATCACATTATCACCACACCGTCCATGTTGATAACCCCCTTTCCTTATAAAGAGGCTTTCCTAGTTTAGGAAAACGGGGCACCGGGAAGGGCGAGTATCGGAGTTTTTTATCTTTTGGCAACTGGGAGATGACACATCATAACTGCATTGGTATTCCTTGATATTCACAATGTTCACTTTTTTTCTCGCCTTATACCGTCCGTACAAACATTGTGTTCGCATCGCTTGATTGAGCTGTGTGTTCGGTATCTCTCGACCGTGTAAAGATAGGTGGACATATAGTCATATCAAAGCAAGACAGCTCGGAAATAAGAATATGGCAAGAAGGTGCCTCGGGTTTTGATCACTTTTTCCATACTTTGCCTTTCTAATCCCTGTCCGTCCCCACATTCGCAAGAGTTGCCATCAATCACACTTCCTGTGTCAAAGTGGCGCGCTACTGACTGGTCCCTTGATTATGTTGTTACCCGCGAGTAGCCAGATATCAGGAGATTTTGGAGATGCCCAGTCGATAATATCTCGTAATACCAAGCGCAATCTCTTTTGCTCGTCTCCGATTTGCCCTTCCTTCGTGGATCGCCTTCCGGATTCGATAGCCACGGCGAACCTTTTGCCAGTCATCTAGCGTCTCTTGCCAGCCTGCTCCTCCTTCATAGAAAACGGCCCCCTGGCGAGAGGACATGCTGAACCCTTTAGGTGGTTTACGAAGGATCCAGCATGCAGGGTCAACCTTGCCATCCGGGGGTGCGTCGTCTGAACCCTCAAATAGCTCAACACCTTTGATGACATCGTCCAGGCCGCCCGCTCGTCTGTTCCGATTTACAGCTGCTCTCCAGGAATTGATTTTCGGGACATTGGCGGTTCTGCGTTGCAGCTTGGGGTATTTCGGCTTCGGGGTCCAGTCAGGGGCTGGGTATGGGTCATTGAATCTTGGATCTCCCAGTCGGCGCCTAGCATCAATAGAGATTCGAGTAGGAGGGTCAATGACAATCCATGTCTCTGGATTCAGCCAGTGATTGGCAAGCAAGGCAAAATGGTACGGTCTGCGTCCGGGGATGAGCTGGTTGGAGAGCCACTCAAGCCTCCGGTCTAGGTCAGCTATCAACCGTAAATCACAATCTGCCAGTCCGATGCCAGAAACTTTGGGTTGGTCCACATTAAGGTCTTCCACGTTTGCCTTTTGGCGAAATGCAAAGCCTTCATGTGAACTCTGCTCAAGCCCTAGACCTTTCGGTCCAGTTGGCAAGCAGTCTCTCGACAAGCTTTGATTTATTCCAGCGTCAAGGCTTCGCAAAGTCAAAATATTTCTTTCTTGGTGGAAGAGACTTTCAGAGTATACCGTCTCAGAAAATTGTCTCGGAATGTCAGAATTGAACGCCATATGCCGAAATGGCGTAGCATTTGCGGCAGCACTGCGTCTTCTGTTGTCGAAGGGTGAACTGCCCCATTTTGAGGACGATATCCGGCCACTCCAGTGTCTTGTCATGTCACACAGTCCAGGGACGGGACTGGTATCTGACAGAAGTCCCGTCAGTCTGTCGGGTCTTTCGACACGGAGAGGTGGACAAAGAGAGTCCTCATGGGTTGCGTGGTTACTCATCCGAGTGCAGCATGGGCGATATGGGTGCGAGTAGCGAGACTTATGCCTGACTCTTGAGTCGTTATCAGGACTGGTCATATGATGACGGGCCCAGTGTGTCTTGAGGCCGTCCTGTCTCCTGAGGCGCTCCGTCACGGGGTCGAAGCACGGGAGGGAGAGACTTCGCGAAAATCTGGGGGCGATAGTTTGAATATTCCGTTGAAACGGGGCAGCCTGAAAAGAACAAAAAGAATGCTTCATGGTCATTGTTCTTCGAGCCTCGACCTGAAAGCGAGGTGGCCTGCGTAGCTCTCCTATTGTGTTCATGAACCCATCCCAAGCTCGTGCGGGAGCTTCCGGCCGCGTCACTGCTCCGTGACATTCATCTTGGAGATAGACCTTGATAGAGACCTGCGTGCAGATACTCGTCCTTGACACAGTGCTTCTATTCCCCACGACACGTTTCAGCGTATGACAAGAAGAAAGTGCTCCGGCCATTCGGAGCGACAGCGACTGACGACTACTGCTCGGCGCAGCAATGACACCAGCATGGTCAGCGGGCCTAGGATTCCAGATAGTATCGGCAGCAGTGAAGCTATAACTCCTGATCCAACGAGGCAACCATCGCAACGGCCGCCTCGTCTCTCGGTATTTGTTCAGATCCCTCTGCCCCGGATCCCACCACACCCAGCTGTAGTCCTGGTTCGACGATCGCCACGCCGTCCACCTGCAGAACTTGTCGAAACAGGTTCGGAAGAGCTTCTTGAGTCCAGCATGTCCCTCCACTGGTACCCAACCGTACCAGGTCCGGGCGTAACGAGCAGTGGTCGCGTTGCCATACTGGGTAACTTTGGCCTGGGTGAAGCGGCGGAAGAATCTCCCGAGCTTCCAGAAGAGCACCGCGAGGACGAAGATGGAGATCGTGATTGCGAACAGCTGCAGCAACACCCGGAGACTGAACCGCTTGGGGCCGGTCATGGGAGCTGTGTCGATGCTTCGCGTTGAGTGAGAGAGGAAGGGACCATGGTAGTATGGCTGTATAAGGACGGGTGCCATCGGACGCGTGAAAGGAGCGTAGCAAGGCAGTCATTCTGATAAGAATACTATTGCGTGCATCGTTGGAAGTGAATTTCGCCTCAGCCACTTCATGAGTGTTTGACTTGAGTGTATTAGGGAGGCATCGTCGCAGAGGAAGGAAGGCATGGCGGTAGGGAGAGCTCCATCACTTCCCTGCCGGGGAAACTTGACCAGTTACCTAGCCTTCGTATGACTTCTTCAGAAAGGACTGGCGAAAAGTCCTGGAACCAATCCTTGAGGTATCTTTGAGCTGGAATGCTTAATTCAAAGCCCCTACCAAGCACTGCGACAAGCTATCCAGATTATGTTCAAAACCTGTAGCCTTCACAGTCGGGAGCTCTACACAAGACGGACAGCAACAAACCAACGATTGATCCTGGCGCGCGGAATACCTTAGAGGCTTTGAACCTGACTGACAGTCTATAACTTCATTCCTCGGTATGTATCTATAGCTTCCACGAGCTGTGATTTGACATGCAGTTACGGCTTTCGACCTCGCCAGAAACTCTTCGATTATGCCGAGAAGAACCAAAGCTACCACAATCACAACATGGCGAGGACCGAAGGATCACAAAACGGAGAAACTCGTTGAGATTCCAATCACTCGCTCCAGTTCTTGATCAGCCTAAGACCAGTCAGATCGAACCGTTCGGAAGTCATTGTATGCGCGATGAGTGACAAACCTCCCCTACATCTCGTCTCGTCTCTTATGCTAAGAAGTATTCCTAACAGCGCGCAGTCTGACACCAACCTCTCCTTCATCTTATACAGGACAATTGCCAGGACTGTTGCTACAGATGCTCAAGTGCAGGGAACATGTCAGGTGACCGTTCTCTAAGCAAAGGATGCAGCGGTCTCTCGCCTCACTATTACGCCTCATTTCAATTTCGCTGACAGCCATCGACGGAAATACCTCTAGAGCCTTACTACGATCCCTTCTGCTCGTTCAGATTCTCTTGCCCTCATCTCTCTCTCTCTCTCTCTCTCTCTCTCGGCGACATATCCCTCCACAGTGGGATAAAATCACTCCGAGGCCCGATATTACGTCGGTCTCAATCTATTGAACTTTTTGAATCCTCCCAGAAGGGAGCCCCTCTTTGCGAACGATTTTCCTTGTTTTCCACGTCAAAAAAGCAAGGTTCGGCAACTAAAGTAGTAGACTAAGATCGAGAAGGGCAGGACTCCACATTGTCTACGACATTTGCATTCGGCCTAGCTCTGAATCTGATCCATGCGCCAACTTTGAACCCCGGTCCCGGACAGTTTGTCTTTATGTTTCCACAATACTTTATACGCTACTATCCCGTATGTAGTACCTATTGTAGTTATAGTCAATCCTTGGGATGCAAGGATAGCCGCAATGCCAGAGCTTCCTTGATCAGGTCTTTAGAGTGGAATCGAAGTTCTTTGACCTGAGACGGTGGGGTGGATCCTGAAAGTTGCTGGACTGCGCAGGGCGGCGACCCTCGTACGACAAAGACATATGTGATGATTTTGCGGATCGAACATCCAGGTTCTGGTTGGCAGCGGGGGATTCTTAAGAGCTTCCGGTCCACGGCTGCAGACGCCACAGCGTGTTGCCTCAACTAGTCAGACTCGTATCTGAGTGTGAGAGGCTGATGGCTTGATGTCAGCTCGCTGCTGCCGCTGACTTGGCGGTCAATCATCGTGCCAATGTGCAGCCCACAAGAACAGAGAGGGTGATGGGGACTTGACGTTGAGCTCTCACGGCGCATCTCATGATCAAGAATGATGAGTGGTAATGCAGAGGAATGTAGCCTAGAAGGTCCAAGCGGTCAATGAAGCGTGTCTAGAATCTTTACGCCACCTGCGCGGGAACGGAAAACAAAGCCGGGTTTTCTCCCTTTGTCTCCATCGAACAAATGAGAACGTCCGGAGCGACACCTAGCAACTCTGCGGACTTATTTACCTCTTCCAGTCGATCGCGGGTGAACAAATAGTGTCATCTGCATGTCGAACAGATCTTCAGATCGATCTCAAACTTTGTCAAGCATATCTGCCTTCTGCGTAGGCAGGCTGAAAGGCTATCCGTGTTTACTATGGTGACCTGAGAAAACAGGAAGAAAATGGCAGAAGCACGTAAGTCAATCGTGGTGGTCGATTAGTCAGTCGAAGGTGCTAGCTTCGTTGAGGGCTCAAACTAAGATACACGCTTTCGCAGTCGAGCTTCCCTAGCCCCAGCTTCCGTGCAATCCCTATTCGCCAGGCCAACCAAGGCCGAATCATCATAGAATCGTTGATGGTGCCGGGATGTGGTACTCAGAAGAGGGGTTCAGGCCGCACAAGGTAGATAGGAGCATAGAAACAAGAGAGACGAGGAGAAAAGAAAAAGAAAAGAAGCTAGTGCATCCTGAGTTATGGTTGCGGACCTCGTCGTGTGTGCTCGGGGATCTGCCATCAAGCAGAAGCCGAAGAGTGACCGTACAGAACACCCTCATTCGACAGCAGATCACCCTCGTGACAGCTACACAAGTAGCTCACTGTGGACCACGCTTTAGCGTCCAAAGGTCCACGAGAGATGTTTGTTTATTAATGTATAGAGGGATCCATAATGCAAGGACTCCACTGGGTTGTGCTGAGTGACCCCCTGTTCACCGCCACAATTAGAGCCGTTGATCCTTGGTAAGCCATCTGTGGCTGGTGGACCACGTTTCTAGCCCAAAGGGGAATGAGCGTACCTCGACCTCGGACGGTCAACACCGTCCGCGCATGGGACTAGAACTCAATCAGTAGTTCCGATCATCTCGCATTACATTGCAGGTTAAAGTACTGGGTTGAGTCCTGGTATTTGGGAAAAAGCAAATCGTGGCGTCGATGACGAGGTCTTCGGTGTCAAGAGGGGCCTCTCTTCCTCCGTCATGTTGATGTTCTCCGCTTACGAGACAAAATAACTTGCTCGTATTTTTCGTGTTTTGATAACACTGGATTCTCTGATAGAGCCATTAGTGAGACTCAATGTAGAGCAATTACAATGCCATCGGTTTCACTGCTTTGCATGAGCAATGTAGATACGGAATTTGGCCGCCCTGCCCTGTTTCAGCAGTCAAGGGATGTCGTCATCCATCCTGCGGTCTAATCGGCGATTGCATCTCCAAATCCAAAAGTACTGTACTAGCGGCAGCGCAGAACCGTGGTGATGTTCTCCGTCAGCGCCAGATGATGCATAGTAATCCGCGTAATCGAATGACTCCACTGTGAGTGTGTGCGTGTGTGTGTGTGTGCACATCTTAGCGCACTGTGCGTGGCTGACTCCGGAAGTAAAGGGCGCGAAATCAAGAGCGTTAGCCTGCATTGCAAGGTGGATTGGCTCCCAATTATTGAGTTTCATGCAATTAGGTTTCATTCTCAATAGGCCCTCTATGTCTCAACAAAAGCCGAAGGATAATGGCCCGTTGGTCCGACCGCAGAAGTACCGTGATTGAGAAAGAGAGGAGAGGTTATCCGGACCCAGTAGCGGGGAAGAGCCAGCAGCGTTAGGGGGGGGTGGGGGCTCGTAACATCTGCTCTATCAGGGAGGGCTATTGTTTTTAATCTGCGCGATGCACGATTTCCGCCATACTGAGGCTGAGGTGAGCTGTGGCTGGTCGATCGCGCTTGGCCCAAACAGGCATGTAGTGTGGCGAAGTCTCCCTTGAATTGACTGTGGCTTTCCCTCTCCTTTTCCTGCTTCTGTCACCAAGACTGGCTTTCTTTCTCAGGGTGGATGTGAGAAGATCATCCCTTACTAGCTTCGGTCTATGGCATGTTCCACTGAGTTCAATTGCAATCAATTTACTGGCCAAGCTGTGTACGTGACTCCGAATCGGGACTTCAGTTCGACCGCCGTAATTTGCTAGAATCAGAAGCAGTGTAAGCTTAGAAACAGACGCTTGATTCCGATCTGGTGGTGTTTGCCGAGGATGCGAAGGTGAAGATTGCCCGGGAGGTCACATTTGAAGCTGTCAAAACGTGGCTTCGGTAGCTTGACGATCACAAGGCCCTGGGGGTTCTTCCGTAGTGTACAATCGTTTTTGGCCGCAAGGAGACAAACGCAAGTGTGATCAATTTTTCTGACTCTCGGACTTTCCACGGAGAAAGGGGAGAATGACTGGAAGGTAGGCGGGGAAAGAGGTGGAAAGTGAAGGGAACTTGGGGAGGTCAACTCTTCAGATGGAAGGAGAACGGAAAAAGAAAGACTGCGACGAACCATAGTTCGTGACTAGTCGATCAATCTCGGGTCTAGTTGTTTAGTCAGTTTAAGCTTCACATTCATCTCCCCTGGCATGCAGTCATTCCATACAGTACACAATCTGACATCTCCCATTGCAGGCGAGGTGCCATGGGGATTTCCAGGAATGCCATTGGCACCCTTCGTCTCCATTGAAATGGGACAGACAGTGATAGTTGTCTTTTGGCGCTTCGCTTGTCACGCTAAAATGGGTCTCTAGGTTTGCGCTTACGGATGGGGCAACAAAAGCAACTAGACTCGATGCAGGGTCAGAAAAAGTAAAAGTATCGAGTCAAAGCAATGGATCTCACAGGTTAGTGGGTAATGATGATGCAGGCGCCCTTTTTTCTGGATCGTGCAGGCTTATCTGTGCCTAACTTCTAATAACCTCTCAGTCTCCTGCATAACAGGGGTCCAAAGACTTCACTATGCAGATCTGCCCGGACTAGAACTTCAAAGGTCGGAGCGAAATTGATTCCATCGTGGTGGCAAAAGTTCATTGACACGGTGAGCATTTTACCTGGCCCAGATTGATATGGTCAATATTGCACCCTAGTTACTCCATAGGTAGGCTCAAGGGTTGCATATATGAAGGGCACGGAATGCCTTCTCATCGATGCTTCTTTTCCTTATCCACAGATTCCATGAATGTCAATTGAGCACACAGACCTCTCACGGCATCTCGTTCTTGTACCTCTCACGAATACTTCATCGTTTATTTGGGTTGAATCGCAACTCTTGCATTGTTGAGCGACTTTAAAGCATTTCATCTTTATCTCATAAGTCTATCATATAGACCGCGCTTCGTCTCCAGTCTAGAAACAATCATGGTTCAAGGCAACGCAAGAGCAGATGCTGGAGGCTCTAGTCGGGAGTATGGAATCAATTTTGAGGTCGCGCCTCCGACCACTGTCTCCCCTGGGGTTTCCATATCATTACCAGTGGTTGTTGTGGTGAGACCGGTAGGAGCTCCAAGAGCCCCTACACAGCAGCTAGTTGCGCATATATCGCTCAGGAACGAAGCCGGGACCGCCCCTGCTCCGGGGCTTACGGGAGTGCTTACGTCCAGTGTGCGCAGCAGCAGTGGGAATACGATCAGCGGTTATGCGCGGTTCGGGCCTCTCAAGTTCACTCAGGCTGGGAGGTTCAGGATGCGGGTCATGCTCGGTGCTGCTTCGTCCAACGGTGTATCTACGAGGGAGTATGTTGATTCTGGAATTATCACGGTACAAGCGGGTGCTGCACCTCCGCGTCCAAGTACGTATACCGTCAAGTTTGGCCCAGGTTGCCCATAACTAATTGAGGGATAGCACCTGCACAAGTCTCCAAGCTACAGAGCCTAATATCAGAAAACATCGATATCACAGTCGCAGATATCGCAGCATGGCAGGCTGCCTGAAGCTGAACTCGGGCACTGTTTCACCGTTTGCCCCTCGCGTTGATCGCGAATCTCTAGAGTGAATTATGAGCTATGAGCTCTTTCTTCCTTTCCCGTGGGCTCTGTTTCCAAGTCAATTCTCGCTGAAGAAGGCAGCTTGCCGTGATTACCAGCAGTGTGGAGCTCCTTTTCCAGAGGCTATGAGAGGATGCGCACCGGGCATGACCCCATATACAGGAAGCCAGTCATCATTAGATCTTAATCATTAATTCAATGGAAAGAAACATTCTACGGTATACTAATGCCACAACTTTAGACCTAAGACATTCCCCCTAGGTCTTTACTAGATTGTTTTCTTTTCTCCAAAGCCGATGGCATTCTGTATCCCACGAGCAGAAAAGCATATTACTGTCGCCACTAGCCCTCTATCACCACCACCACCAAACAACTCAATGACCACCACCGACCAAGCAGCATCACAACCACAATCACTCCCGTCCCGTTTCGCATCCACCCGAAGCACCAAGCAGCCCCTCGAGACCCCGCTCCCGCCCTTGCATTCCTTCATTGCGATCCCATCCCGATGGCCCAAGATCTGCGTGCATTCCAAGGCGACGCGACTACACGTCCAGAAGGCTCGCATGCTCCCCTTACCAAGTCCCCCTACTGACGCTCTTCCTTCTTCGATGGATTGGTACCGCAATCAATCTGCTGTGTAGATCGTTGAGAGCATCCGCGTCCCGCAAGGAATTGCACCTTGTACGAAACCATGGATAAACTGAGTAGATACCGGTGGTTCCGAATGGTCGTTCCTCTCTGGCTTGCCTCTTCTTCGGTTGTTTTCTCTCATTGCCGTACTGTGGACCCTTACAATAACGGACTTCCATCAAAGACATCCTAGATCTAATTCATTCCCTCCTGGAGAGGGGATTTTACCCTTGTTTTGGGTTTGCTAGGCTCATTTTATCAACCGTATCACCAATGTTTGTATAACTCCATGAAGAATACTAGATATAGACCGGGAAGAATAAAACAGAACTCAATGTATACCAAGTAAAGAGCTCGTATACTCCCTTTTACAAGGCGTGCGACAGCAAGACACATAGATACAGGTCAGAAATCGATGCCAGAGGTTTCTCTAAGGTTTGATAACTGCTAGTCAACTCGACTGAAGCGTACTGTACTTTCAACGTCACTTCCATCGGAATCAAACCGCACTGTAACGGGATTAGTAGTACCACCATGGATGGCGATATCCATTCCCACCTCTGAACTCCGGCTGGGTGGTCGATGGCCGCCCCCAAGCAGCTTCTGGATTTCTCCTTCTCGATTCCGCGAGTACTCTTTCCATGACCTGAGTGAGTATCAATTCCCTCCACTCGTCCTCTATCCTCTGCACCTCCACTCGAATCTCCTCCATGGCCGAAGAAATGGCTCCGAGCTCTTTCTCCAGAGCACGCACCTCCTCCAATTTGCGGTCGATGCTCCATTCCTTCGTCCATTGTTTCCCAATCGCATCCACAAGCTTATCATCTCGCCGATGCAGTTGTCGCGTATATTCGGCTCCGTTTCCGGGCCTGAAGGAGCAGAGGTACCGCCACCATGACTCTTCCTTGGCCTTCTCTTTCTGGATTAATTCTCTCTGTCCTTTCAGACTGTTCAGCGTGATGCGCAGCATGACCAGATCCCTGCGGGAATTGTACAACGATATTTGACGGTCAATGCGCCGATCCTCAAGCTGCCGCAGTCGTCTGCCAAGTTCGGATTGTTTTTGATTGCTCAATTTTGCAGGACGTATCCTTGTTCGATATAACCTGTCGTATTCCCGGCGTCTTTCGACATCGGAAAGCTGCTCGTAGGCTTCCCTAAGCTGATTGTGACCGCGTCAATGCTCACGCTTCTGAAAAGGCAAAGGTATCGTTAGCCGGCCCACCGCTTACTTACGAGTTGGAACTCCGCTGTCGCGTTGGGCACCCGCTTCCGATCTGGATGCTTGGCCAGGGCCATTTTCTTGTACGCGGACTTGATCGCATGGGAGTCTGCACTAGGGGCAATCCCCAGGATCTCGTAATAGTCATGAACCGCCGTCGAGGTGAGCGACATCTTGTGAGATCTGATCCAGATATTAATAGATGATGATCAAGGACTGAGGGCTGGTGTCGCGGGTCGATCCGTCGGAAGTGGAGTTTCTTTCGAGTACGGACATCTTTAGTTCAGGAACAAATTCGAGAGCGGGGGATTGGGTTGGGTTGGGCGGGTATAGTACTGGTACAAGCTATATATGATAAGCCGCGGCTCTGGGTATTATTACTAGTGGTCGGATACAATGTTCATCCACCGGGACTGTCAGAAACATCCAAATTCTGGACTGGTGTATGTTAACAAATAGGACTAGAGGAACAATCAAAGAATATGAGTAGTGGTGACACCAGTTTCCAGTACTAATATAACTGCTATAAAAATCGACATATGCACCCAATCCACTCAATTCTAGCAGATGATCTATACCAACGAATAGAGACATAACTCAGGTGCAGAACATGCACATGGCATCCCTCCAACATAAACGAGCCAAAAGCTCAAGCAGAGTATCGGAGCTCCATGAAGTCTGCCCAGTACTCCGAAGTCCGTAGGCCCGACAATAGGCTCATGACACTGGCACATAGTTCTCGATCCGCGAGGTCAGAAACAGTTCCCCTGCCCAAGGCAGGACTTAACCCCTCACGACCTTCCCCACTACTCTCATCCATATGAAGCGACATGCTCGCACCTCAAGACCCATCAACGGTAAATGAACTGCCGCGAACTCTCCTCGCCGGGATATGAAGCCGAGGATGAAGACGAAGACGAAGATCGCAAGGTGACCTTTCTGCCTCCATGATGTTCATGTTCCGCTAAGCAGGGCGAATCAACCCCCGAGTTTACTTGCAGTGGCAGTGGAGGGACCCTTGACTTAGATCGGAAGATTCTTCGGAATGAGAAACCCTTTGTGAGAAGAGGATCTAGAGATCGTGGGTGTTGTTGTTGTTGTTGTTGTTGTTGTTGTTGTTGTTGTGGTTTGTGTTCTTGATTTGTCTTTTGGTATTGCCCCACTGGGATTCAATCCTTGGTGTGGTGGTTGTGCAGCAGGCGGTCGACGCCGCCGCGCACGGTGTCGCGCAGACTGAAGCCGCCGAAGAGCCAGTCGTTGGAGTGACGGCCACAGTGGTTGACCGTGCCGCTGTAGCGGCGGTAGTCCTCGGTGCTCTTGCGGGAGTAGGCAGAGGAGGAGGAAGAGGAAGTGCGCTTGTGGGAGTGGTCATCGTGGACCTGGGTGGCTCTTGAGGGGGTCATTTTGAAGGTTGTAATTGTGAGACAATGATTTTGGTGGTGGTGGTGGTGGTGGTGGTAGTAGTTGTGCTACTTGTGGTACTTGTGGTACTTGTGGTACTTGTAGTTATCTTAAGATAAATAAAGCTGGATCACTCAAACCCTCGACTCAGATATCCGATAAAAACACAGAAAAGTAGAACAAAAACCTCAACCCGCAAACCCTCGGGAACAGGAAGGGTATTTATGCACCAGACCACCAACTCTCTAACCCCTCAATTTCAATTTCAGACAGCCGACTTGGCTACGCTACCAGCAATCGGGGGCCCATCTGGGGCCTAGCGGGCCAGCCTTAGTGTCGGACATAGGCGGGCTGGCGAATCGGGCGACGCCAGCAAGGAGGGAAAAGGGCTCCATCGATAGGGCTTTCAGTAAGAGTGGAGCGGTGAGGAACCAGTGTGTTCTCCACCCCTCTGCCCTACGAGTCGGCCTGTGTGCCAATCACAATGTCATCCCAGTACTGTCAACCCCGTCAGGAGGCTCCAATTCACCGCTGCCTGTTCTTTAGTCTAGCACTTCGTATTCGGCATGCATACCTGTTCCTTCCCCCAAGAAAACGTGGACAACTCACACCATACACCCAGACCATCATCAATCTATCTCACTACCCTACAGTAACTTAAGATATCTACCACCAATCCCAACACTACGTGAAATAGAATCCTTCCAGAACCCTCGTCTGACCACTGCACCTGGCACGCACCTCTCCCCCTCTCCCTCTCACAAAGTGAAACAAAAAAAAAAAAAGTAAAAAAGATCACGCGTAAATCCGCCCCCACACCGTCGACCGTGCTAACTGGGTTCTCCACTCTCCAAACCGGACAATCCATCCAATGACCACCACCGACAGAGTGATAGGGCTCACTAGGGCTGATAGTGCGGTCGTTGGCGCTTCAGCTTTGGGGGATCTTCATTCCATTGATTCCGTCCGTTCCGTGAGCCATCCCCGCCAGCCAGGTCAATTGTCTCGGGGGAACACACTCACACTTACCGTAGACAACAGGTAACCGTGAGGAGGGTGATAGGCAAATAATTCGAGCAGAATGTTTCACCACGTTCACGGACCAACTCACTGGCCAGGTATGTGCGGGCTTTAAATAGCAGCGGGACTTGCACAAAATGCCTCGTTTTTCGGCTGGGGATAGCAACTGCTAGTATCAACGCAGCAACAACAGTTTTGACTACGTTCCTCGGGCCCGGACACTGATGCTCAGTGGGACATGCCAGTTCAATCAGTTCTGCTGATTTCGATTTCGAACACTGCCAATTACTCATACACGAACTCGGTGTGAACTAGTCATGCACTCAAGTCAAGAAGTCAACAAGACAACATCCGCGGAGATCCACAAAACCACTGACTGCACCTGCCACCGAGTAGACGAATCACCCATTCACACCCCGAAAACCCCGACTCCCATCCCCACTCCAAGCAAGTGGGCACGTTGAGGCTCTTTCTCGGACCCAGTGACATCATGTTCAGCTGGAGTGCACAAAATGCCAAGCGCGACAGCATCGCCATGCCGCGTGAACTCGGCACGGTCGTTCCGGGGGCTGTCTACTGTCTGTCTATCTCTTTGACAGGTCCGAAGCACGGTCTCGTGCACTGGTACTGAGTACAAGGCAAGAGATGCGAGGTTGCCCTGCGGTCATTCGGTCTGCAAGGGTTACGAAATTGTTTCTGCAAGAAGCCTACCTAGTAGTTTTGAGGTATTATTATTTGTGTCCATGTCCAATCTAGCTAGGCTACCGACCGACCGTAACATCATGCCGCAAAACCACGCGAATGGCCCGACCGCCCGACCGCCCGCGCGCAACTCTGTCCTTCATGCAAACATGCAAATAACCCATCCCCGTATACCATGTATACCAGACGCCCAAAGCAGAATGCTAACAACGACCAGAACAAAATAGAACATGGTGAGAATGAGAAGCAGAAAAACAGGCAGAAGAAAAACCTACAAACCTCTCGAGCACACCGGCCTGAAATAGAATGAGAAGAGCCCCGATCAAACAACGACACCATGTAATGAACAAACCACTAGAGCAGCAGCACCTCACTCTTCTTCAAGTGGCCACAAGCTCGCACTTGGCCGTTTCCAAGACCGCGGCTGCTCCGAATGACACCGCCGATGGTTCCTCTCCGACAGCAGATCCACTGCTCTCCCCCGCCGACCACCACCAGTACCACCACGACCACCTGCAACCTCCACTACCGGCACCGACAACAGCCCACCAGGAGTCGCGTCAACCAGTCCTACAGCGCCTAAATTTCCGGCACGCTGCGAACTCGGCGGCAAAGGCACCAAGTACGAAGTAAAGAGTACTTCCTCTCCACCAGCGACCGGATACTGAGGCGTCGTTGTGGGCATCACGAACAGCGACTTCGCCTTGTCCAACGGCGGCCGCACCATCTTCCTGAACGGCCCTCCATGTCCACTAGAGGCCGTATGATCATCCTGCGGCGAGGAACCCCCTCGCGCGGAGGACGACCACCACCACGATGACCACCACCGTCGAGATCGAGCATTCGGTGCCACTGCTGGAATCGCCCTCGTCCTCGTCAGCGACGGCCCAATCCCCGCGGACGCAGCATCGTCCTCAAGTAAGTCTTCCGAACCCACGGGGACGAGGAAATGCTGTTCGAGGAGTTGCTGGTAGGACTTTTGTTGCTGCTGCGGCTGCTGCTGCGGCTGGTGGTGGTGTGCAGACTGAAAGACCACCCAGTTTCGCCCCAGCGGCTGATGCTGTGTTCCACCACCACAATAAGGCCAGGAGTGGCGTCGTCGGTGATGCTCGCGGTGATGATGAACCAGATATGGCATATCCACACTCCCACACAGCTGTGATCAATGTTGGAATCGACAGAACGCGACTCGTGAGCTAAAAGTCGGGGCGTCTCTCAAGCCTTAGAAGCAGGAGGACGCAATAGCGAAAGGACAGAATAATTATAAAGAGAGACTAAGAGTCACCGGGCTTTGCAATTAGTGAGTAAATGAGAAGTCGGGCCAAGTACCACATCAAAAATCCTTTTTGAATAGAATACAGAATTCGATTCACCCCGGGCTTCAGGGCAATCATAACCAACCAGTCATCATGCAGTAAAATAGATAACACATATCAGTAAAGGAAAGCGTAGCTAGGCATTGACTCTTCTTAAGAAGGGCGTACCAGCCGCAGCCGCAGCAGCAGCCTTTTCGTGTATCAGAGTCATGAGGCCTGCACGTGCGAGGCGCACGCGGCGCAGCGCCAATGTTCCCGATTGCCCAGAAAAGAAGTAGGCAGATGGAGATCACCCGCTCTAAGTCAAGCCCGGTGCACTTGCAGGTGTGGACACCTAATTTTCTGGTTTGACGGGTTTTGTCTGCAAGTCATACGGGACAAAAGCGGACAGGAGTTACCTGCTAGCTTTAGTTTGAGTCACGGAATGACTACATATTGTGGCTGTTTTGCTCGTCAATGACGATTACCGATTGATCAAAAGATCTTGAATCAAGTGAGCGAGTTTATTGATTTGTCGAATGAAATAAGTCGGTGTAATTATCATTTCTCAGGCACGCTGGGACATGAACCGCAGCTGTAGAAACGATTTCCAAGATTCGAGGATCTCCTGAGGCCCGTCTTCAGCAGCAGGATGACCAGACGGACTATAAATCTTGTTCACTCCAAGGCACAGACTCCCCCTCAATCCTGTTCACAAGCGTCGTAGAGAAAATGCCCGGCTGGCCACGGTTCTGTGTCCCTGACTTGTCCCTGTCTGCGATCATTTGGTGATCGGCGGCGGGTTTGCCTTGCAGCAAGGGACAGACCGACCGTACCGTCCGTGGTATCTGCAGACCAACTTGCAGATGATGCGGGAAAGGGTTGACAAGACAAATATGATCTCCGTCATCAACAAGAAACAGTCACGTGGTCTAATGGTTATGATTTCTCGTTCACATCAGATGAACGACCCGAGAAGGTTCCCGGTTCGATCCCGGGCGTGACTATTTTTGTCGATCTCAAAGAAGCATCGATCGCATCCTAGGCCGCAGTCGTCGGTTTTGTTTTAGGCTCCTTTTTTATTTTGACGGAATTTCCCCCGCAGTATATGTGTCCTACTACTCCTTTCTTCTGGTCTTATGACGTAGGCCTGGTTCGTAAGGCGAGAATGAAATCACTTTGATCTGGTCACTCAATGTTGATCATTAGCTTCGAAGCGGAGAGTAACCAGGATATATACTTGCATGCCCCATCATGCTCCTTCGGGAACCCACCTTTTGTTGTTGCGAAATGAATCGTCACAGGACCTCGCGATCGTTCCTTACTCGGGTCCTTCGCTTTTCCAGCGGCTATCTTAGCCATATTGAGCACCATTCCTCTTGAAAACTCCTGCGTGGGAAAATTTATTCGATCATTGTGGTCCCGCGTCGGCTCCCGAGCTGGCATCCTCAATGTTAACCACTTGTCCGCGATTTGATCACTTTTCCATCGTGCAGCAAGACGAAGATTCTCCCCATCTCGCCACAGCTGTACCTCCGAGTCTCCCTTGGATGATTTCTTATGGCCGAAGAAGAACTTGGATTTGGTTGTAAGAGATGTGGCACGTCTGGAGAACACGAGTTCGTGGGAGGATGCCAGTGAGCTCATGAATCCCTGCAGGGTGAGCACTTCGTCGAAGCTTATCGCAACGCTTCCCGTCACCTTCTCGCTGTGGGAGAATCTAACCTGAGAGTCAGCACGGTACAACTGATCCACGTGTGATGATATGTAGTGGGTGTGAAATATATGCGGAAATCGGACACTGCGGCTGCCATGCTCATAGCTGTAGTCGATGTCTCTGTAGACATAATATACACCACTGGACTTCCAGCACGCGTGTGCCTGACACACCATGATGATTTTGTATTTCTTGTGATCCGGAGTGTCGTCCACTGCGTCGTAGACGTGACCCGAGCCTTGGGTCTGAGACCAGGAGAATATCGGTTTCGCGCTCAGACTCATTATAGCCTGCTCAAACTCCTCTGCTGCCTGCTCTGTTGACCATTCTATACCAATCCCGATATTGGGATTCTTCTCATCATAAACATTGGAGTAGAGAGGGTTGTAGTTCCCATCAGTCTTATCGGATCGTTCTTGCCCAGTATCTGACCACTTCAGTAGCGCCTGCCTCGATCCTTTTTTGCGGCTGATTTGTACACAGCTCAGAGGCATGAACCAATCAATACACATTGGATCTTTGTCGGCCACGGAAGAACTGATGACCAATCTCCGGATGGATCGCCATGCTTCGCCAAATGATCTCTCTAGAATGCGCACTTCACAGGATCGGTGAACCAGAGCTGGACTCATGGCTACCATGCTAGGTGCTTTGAGTTGCTCCAGTACCTCAACAGTGCCTCTATAGATCATAGTTTCGGTAATCTCATCCGAGCTCACTGGCTCCCGGGGCCACACCGCATCGAAGTAGGCTTTCGGAACGCTGATGAACTGTACCAAGTCGGGCAGATATTGAAACGAGATAGAAACGCTGACCGTCTCAAACATCAGCGTCACCGGCTCCGTAGACTTGGCAACCGAAAGAATGTTGAGAGAGGCTTCTGAGACTTGAACAAGCTGGGCCAAATCTGCTGGCGTGACTATGATTGGGTCAGATTTAACCAACGCCTGTAATGAAGGGGGATAACTCACAGTCCCGCTGGAGGCAAAAAGTGCCCATTTGATTGCATATGGTAATTTTCGGCTCATTGTCTCCTTCTTTGGTAGACAACAGAAGCATGTATGGGGCGCCTTTCGTTCTCATGCGAAGCTTCTTGCTACCTATCCCGGCGTTGACGAACGTGCGGAAGAAGACTTGTTCGTCCTCATTGCCTGCGTCTTCGATCTCGACTGCAGTATAACGGACATCGCCTAGACCTAAACGTGGATTGATATTACCCGTACTTTCTTCGGGTTGTATTGTTTCCAAAATCTCCTGGTTGTGTGAATGAATGGCAGCATAGTCTGGAACATCGACTGAGCTGAACTGGGAGAAGTCTTCCCTAATACCCTATAGTCTAGGTTAAGTGGAACCCAGCATATGTGCTCAAGCTACTCACATCGGACAAATCGGAGACCATTTTTCGATTCTCATTCAAGCACAATTCCTCCGGACTGCCAGTTCTGAGCACAACATCATATAGGATATATGAGGCCTTGAGCAGGTCAACATATGCTTGATGGCTCGAGGACCACGATAAAGTTGATGGGCTAACGCTTCCACGATGATCCAACGGGCTTGGCTTGTCCGCGTTGGCAAGGACTGCACGGGCCTGAGACTATTTTAGACGTCGAATCATAGAAGCCAAAACGTACTGTGCCATACCTTCAGCAGCCACCACACAGCAATGTGTAACCAACCGCTCGTGGTGAGGTTCCGCACTTCCTGCCCTTTGACCACAGACGCATCGAACTTGAGAATGAGCTCAGCGTCCGGTTGGTGGAATCTATCTCGAGGCTCATAACGCAGTGATCGACGAATCTGTTCCCGCGTCCGAGAGTGAGGTGACATATCTATATCTGGCGTGCCTTTCCTCACAAAGGCTGGAGTCCGAGAATGCAACACCTCTTTTTCGGTTGAGAATAAATCCATCGAGGGCATGTTGAGGTTTGTATTCCCCGATACGCTACTAGAAGGGGTAAGCGTACTTCCCGACATGACGGAGCCATCAGAGTATCCGGAGGCCATTGACTCTGTGGAGACCGACCCACGTGTGGGATCACTGCTGAAGCCATTGGGTGTCTTCACATCTAAATTGGTCGATTCGAAGATAGAGCTTCCTTCTAGCTCGGAGATCCCGACAAGGTGAGGTCTTCGAGATGATATTGGGGGTGGTGCTGGAAACATGGGAGATGTTTCGGCCTGTGGCGGCGGTGATGGTAAGGGAGACTTGTCTGTTTGTAAATCATCCGACACCGAGCTGTTGAAGCTTCCTAGTGAGTAACTGAAAGGGTTAATAACCATGATCCCAAGCCTTGGCACGACCAGGGTCCTTACCTCACAATTGAACTCATGCACAATCCTAAATTATGCGCATGGGCGGATACCTCCGATCTTAACTCTTCAACTTGTCCTTGTTGTGTTGGCCAGTCCATCTTCTCCCAGAACTCCTTTTCGCTGCTGGCGCCAATGGCCCTGTATCTGGCCACTAGTTTATGGAGTGCATGCAGGGTCTCTAAGCAGGCATGAAGAGATGGCTGCAGGTCAACTCTGTGATCACCTCTCACACTTTCAACGCTGTTTTTCAGAGCACGGAGAGTGTTATGGAGAGAGAGTAATCCGGCCACGAGTTGTTTGAAGCCGTCAGGCGCCTCGCCACGAACAAGATTGCAGTTATGATACAAGTCCCATGCTATTCTGACCAAATTGTATAGGGTGACATCCACGTTATCGACGGAAGTCATGATGTGGTAGAAGTGTGTCCGAGGCAAAATCTCTGTGAGCCTGAATGACCGGAAGTCGAGAAAGATTTCAACTGAGATTAAGCCCTATCTATTCTCACTTATTCCAGGCGCTTTCAGTGAGGTTTTCACCCAAGTGACGATCTCACGTATGGTCGAGGGACCAGACCATCGTGGGCTAATGGCATCTGGGATAGGCTTTGCTGCAACAACTGAGTAATAAGACACTATCAAGAGCTTCTCAGAGCCAAGTCTGGTTCATCGAGTAGGATCAGGTAGTTTCAACGAATGAGAAAGGTGACCGGAGAGTGGGCTATGTGAGTTGCGGTTGGAAGTTCTTTCAAGTCGCGGCCACCAAGAAGGAGACAAAGAACTGAGGCGTGGTTCGCTTTCATACCTGCACCCCACACAAATCCCAAATCCCACACCATGCTGCGATCGATTCTTCCTCGCTTATAATCACTGAAAAGGAGAGTAATAGGGTACGCCGGAGAGACAAGATTGGGTCGCATGGCAATGTTCAGCCAAGGTTGATGGCTCCGTCAAGGGTCTTGGAAGGTGCGCAGTCAAGTCTTCCAGAATGATGTGGGTAGGTTTATCTGCTACAACTGAGTCGCAGAGCCAACAGCAGATTTTAGAATTTCTTCTATATTGCACAGAGTCTCAGGCTATTTCAAATTACTTCTTGCATGCGTTGCCTTGAGATACTTTCTCTTCTCGAATGCTATGTCCAACATCGCAAGCGTCAAGCACAACTACAATAAGACGTGACAGGGATGCGAAGAAACAAAGCAGCCAGGGTTTCCGTTCTCAATAGCCACTATCGTATTGCTGCCCTTGGCAGTGGCGCAGTGGCCACCCGGGATTCAGATCGCAGCTTTGATAATAGCGAAGCAGATATGCTTTGCTGGCATCAACAGAGTGCCCCAAAGCGTGCCTCATGCAAATCTCATATCTCACATGATGACTTGCCACGATCCCTCAATTGGTCGAGCTGAGGCTCATGTCGTTGCCCTCCTACGATTTAGAAGAAACAGTCAATGCTCTCTAGGGATCCAGATTCGAAGCCGACAATATCTCAAGGGCAGCGCCCTATTGCAGTCAGTCGCATACACCCACCATTTGGCACCAAGCCACTATATCCCGGACTTAAGCAAAGATCGAGGCTAAGAGGTGAAGGAGGCCGATCAACACCATCACGACCGTCAAACTGCCATATCGGACTCTCCGCGTTGTGGTCACCAGCGGTGCCTCTTTACTCTGAATAAAGAAATAGCGATTAGAATCATTCTCCCTCTTGACATAGAATATTAGCGTGTGCTTGGGACAATCTCTAGCATGGGCCAGATCTTATCAGGTTGATATCAGCATGAAATAACTGAAATCAATTGGACTGTGGCCGCTCTTCTCGGTCAACATCTCATGATCCTCAAGCAGAGGGATTAATACTCCGAACTTGCTATATTTCAAATCATGATGCTAGAGTCGAAATGGATAAGGGACGAGAGTCATTTCGAAGTGGGAGAAGATTAACGTAGTGTTTGCAACAGGACCTGACACAGCCATGATCATGTAGGAAAGCCTTTGATGATGCTAGGAAATAACGATAGCTATGGTGAATCCGCTGGAATGCGAAACAATGCTAGTTCTGAGCTCTTGAGTACAGCCAATAAAACCATAATAGAATCAGACAGAGACAAAGTAACCAAGGCATGTGGAGGAGAGAGATTCTAGTCGAGTCGGCCATTCGAAAAGCGGATTCGGATACTAGTAGCCTGAGATTAAGATCTTAGTCTGATGCCATGCGGAATTTGGTTGGTGGCAGGTCCGAATCACTGTACTACCTAACACCTCAGCTTCATTCTCACCATCAGCTCTCTTTTCCCAGTAGACCATGTCTTATATGATAGCGTGAGAATCTCTTCTAGAGACAGTGCACGTGGCTCTCTCTCTTCATTTTCATACCCAAACCTACGAAACGCAAAATGAACTCCCAGTTCAAAATCATCGGGCACACTATTCCCTGCTCTTCCATTTGTGAAGACTACCACGCAGTTAAGACAGACAGACCATTGCAATTAGCAATCAGGCAATACATCTCACTCAACAACACCAATCTCAGTCAGAATGAAATATCGATCATAGCAGGACATGCGAATGGTATTCCCAAGGTCAGCAATAACTCTATTCAGAATGGCGCACTGTAATAGCATACTAACGATCAAAACCTTAATGTGGGAGACTTATGAGCCTCTTTGGGATGAGCTGATGATAAGCTTCGAGGGGAAAATCAAGGCTATCTGGTTCGCGGACTGCTCCAACCAAGGCGCCAGTGTAGTGTTGAACGAAGATAACCTTGGAGATGATCGTGAGACAAACTTCCATATGCGTTCCTCAGGAGAAAGAAATTGGACTTGCTGATCGGTAACCATAGCGAACTGGTTTGACCACTTTCGAGATCTGCTGGGCACGGTGAACCGTTTCAGTGATCAGATCCAGCCTCCAGTCGTGGGAGTAGCACATAGTTTCAGCTGCTCGCAATTGTACTTGTCCTAGTGTGTCCCCAAAATCAAAAAAGCTTTGGCACTAATACATCTCAATAACAGTGTTCATCTGTCTATAATGCACCCCCGACTCTTGCATTCTCTCATCTTTCTCGAGCCCATGATTCAAGTCAAAAGTCCCAGTAAATTGGGTGCATGTGGTCCTCAAGGCACGAAGCCGAGAGGTATATACGCAGCGATCCATTCTGGCGTCGCTGGGAACCCCGTGCAGTCGATAAATAATATACAATATGGCCTTCGTACTCTCCCGACGGTTCTCTACCCACTCAACGCCCCAAGAGGATCCCTCCTACCGGATGCCGCGACTTTGACCACTACCAAAGCGCAGGAGGCCTGGACATACTTGCGCCTCAATGCAACACCTCAGATAGACGGTGATAACAAGAGTGGTTTTCTGACAAGGACAGAGCGTTTTCTAGGCCCAGACCTAGCCATCTCAGCCAAGGAAGGCGATAATAACAACCAGAATTATGTGACAGTATGCCCGTGGTCATGTATTGCCTTTGAGCTTCTTCCATACGTCCGGCCACCAGTCATCCTCATCTTCGGAGAGAAAAGTCATATCAACACTCCCGCGCGGAGGCAGAACACGCTGGATCGGAATTGAGACAGGGCTTGGCGAAGGCGGGCAAGCTCGAGCTGAAGTCTTGCTCGGAACCTCCCACATGCACCGCTGGAGAAGGTGCACGACACGGCTTGTCTGATGTCTGGCTGGTTAGACTTTCAGTTGAATGCATACCGCGGGGAATTGGAGTTTTGGATGCGTCACGACAGCAAGAAGTCAGAACAGGGTGGAAAGGCTTTATCGGCCCAATGGATGGAGTACATGCAGTCGCCAGTGGATATCAAGCGTGAGACGAGGAAAAGGCCGAGTCAACTATGATTTGATGATAGTACTCGGATTAGGTAGAGGCCTGAGAGACCACACGCGTATTATTGACACCTGATCTCGCCAGGTATTACTTTTGCACCGAAGGTTCAGTATCAGCCCTTAGCCAGCTCCGAACACCGAATCTACTCCGACAAACGCCGATTTAGATGCACTATACATAAAGCGACGATAAAACATCTCTAGAAATCATTTCAGAACCCAAGCGTAGACGAAAGAGAACCATGAGCCTACACTTGGAGAAGTCAAACCAATGCAGCAATGACGCATTGGAGGACAATGAGTCTTCTTCCGCCCATTCTGACGATGACCTCCAACACCTACACCATGTCGCAGACTCTCTACCGCCTCGGGTCTGGATAGCAGCATCAATCGCCATTTTCGAGAGATTTACCTACGAGGGCACCCAAAGCACCTTTCGTACGCATTTCCCAGAGTCCTCCACATAACTCTAGCGTCTAGAGCAGCATAGCTTACCGGTTCTTTTTCTAGAGAATTACCTACAGCATAGCCCCTCTGATTCGATCCCCGGGGCTCTCGGCCTTGGGGAATCACGAGCCAACACGGTCAATCTGGCATTCACAGTCTTGGTGAATATCCTGCCGTTGCCGATTTCGATCTTAGTCGATGGTCGATTGGGACGGTACCTGGCTCTGCAGATGTTCTTCGTGTGAGGGCCAATCAGATAATCTTTTTGGATTCACACATTCGCTGATGAATGGTAGAATTTATGCACTGGGATCTTTGACTCTCTTCATCACTTCTCTACCTGTCATGATGCATAACGGTGCTGCGGCACCGGGTTTTGCCGTGGGAGCTGCGCTGATTGCCATTGGGCTTGGAGGGGTCCTGGCCTCACTTCAACCTTTCATCGGTAAGTGATCTCATTGCTGTTCACTCGTTCCTCCAGGTAATGAGGATGCTTATCCGCTGGACTAATTTTTGACGTTGTAGCGGATCAATATACAGATCCCGGAGGGCGCATTGAGACTCGGCCAAATGGCCGGCGGGTAGTGGTGGACCGCGACCTCACTATTCAATACATCTACAGTGTCTACTAGTGGTACGCCAGCTATACCATACCTCACTCTTACTGAAAGGCTCTGGAATTCACACGACTTAGGATGACTAACCTCGGAGCCATGGGGGCTTTAGCCACCACTATGATGGAGAGATATGTTGGGTTCTGGTCGAGCTATCTCCTGGCTCTTTGCTCCGTGTTGCTGTGCCTCGTCATCGTGCAAGCAGCAGGGAGAATTTTCGGCAAGTGCTGCCTCTCGACTGTGAACATGCCTGACTGACAGTATACAGTCCATCCTCCACCACAAAGTTCCGTTCTTCCCCAAGCCGCCCAGTGTCTCTGGTACGCATGCCTAAGTGGTTTCAACCTCGAAGCATGTTATCCTCACACTCAACTCACAATGCACCAACGTGTCGTTCCTTGGGATGAAGGATTCATCACCGAGCTTCGAAGTGGGCTATCGGCCTTCAAAATCTGGTGAAATGCCTCAGCAACACAGCACCAGGTCTTAGCTAACCGATACATCCTAGCATGGGCTGGCCCATCTTCTGGCTCTGCATGTCCCAAGCCTCTCAGCAAGGCATATCACAGGCCGGCACAATGCAAAGCCACGGCATTCCCAACGACGTACCTAAGGTTTCCAACCCAGTAGCATATATCCTCTTCGGGATCTTGGTCCAGAAGATGTTATACCTGTTTCTGCAGCGCATCGGGATCTTGTTCAACCCAGTCAACCGCATCACCCTTGGATTTCTCATCATGTCCTTAGCCATGACCTATTTCGCCGTTCTTCAAGCTGCAATCTACCACACAAGACCCTGCTATGATCACCTATTGGCCTGTGCTGCATCGAATAGTGATCACGGCCAGATTACAAATCAGGTCCATATCTTGATCCAGCTCCCAACATACATCATCATCGCGCTGGCCGAGGTGTTCTGCTGGCCGACGGGCGCAGAATACCTTTACACCCATTCGCCAAAGAGCATGAAGTCGGTGATGCAGGCCTGCTATGTGGGAACGTTGGCGCTCGGCTACGGATTGGGTATGGTACTGTCGCCGCTTGCAAAGGACCCCTACCTTGTGATTCTTTGGTCGTTGGCAGCTGGGTTGGTGTTTGTCTGTGCTTGTGTCTTTTGGGTGGCCTTTCGTCGGCTAGGACGGGACTCTAGTGGTTAGAATAGGGTGTATCCTTCGGAGTTTCACCACTGAGAAGTTGTTTGAGAATTATGACATTAAACTGAGAAGGATGGTTGAGGGGAGCTAAGAATAATAGGATCGAGCTAGCGGAAATGAGACTATATGCGCATTAGGAGTCGAACAGTAGGCGGGCTTGTCAATTGAATTCCATAAATCTGGTTGATATTCAAGAGAAATATCTTTGCTAGTCGTATTGCTGCTACTCCCTTGAAAGAGAAAGGAGAGCTTGAGAGGCTCGCTGCTCCTAAATGAGATTGATCTGGCTCTCTGCAACATAATCCCGTGGACAGTGCAGTACAAAGCAAGGAGTTAGTATAACGACAACAAGGTGATACACCACTAGAAATACATCAACGCAGATTATGAGTAGGGTTAAGAAGCCCTTCGGTGAGTGCTGTCAGAAAGTACACAAGAAAGCTTTGCGGTCTGGTACAATCGACTCTGCAAGCAACTCTTTGTCGTCTTTAGGCGGGACATCCAGACATCGACACAAAGAACTCGAACGACAACATTGGATTTCTGCAAGAAAGCCCTGGTACTGTACTTCAGAGAGCGAGGTTGTTTATACTGCAAAAGAGGATTCCCAGGCAGAGCTGAAAGAAGCTGGAAATAGCATGAAAGGAAGCACAAAGCATCGGAGGCATCGTGAGTGGGGCGCCACCATGCCCAAAACAGGAAAGGCCCACCTGCCTGAGGCCGCGGGATCGCGCATCGACGCGACTTTCTTTGAGGGTGAGATCTCTCAGGGGGGAAAGACCACTTCCTCTTAAACCCTCAAGAGATTCAATTGACTTGTTCCTTCTCGTTCATTGTCTCCCCGATCAACCACCACGTCTTCAATCCGCCCACCATGACACTTAAAGACTCGGTCGAGTCCATCCTCACGACCGCGCAATCCCACCTCACGAATATAGCCTCAAACCTGCACTCGCACCTGCTCAGCACCACCATTGCTGCGCAGACCGTTGATCGCATCACGAACCCCGCGCCTCCTCCAGCCGTGGCTTTCCCAGACCCAAACGCACCCGTCCACACCGACGACAACATTCTCCAACAAGCCCTCCTGTACGACTACAGCGCGATCATGGCCCAGCCGTTTGTGCTGGACGTGCCCACCGTCAGCTGCCTCGTCATGGCCTTCCTCCCGATGCTGATCGCCTATATCATGGGCCGCCGGCTAATCCCAGCGCACCAAGACCTGGCCAGCCTGCTCTTCTTCTGGCACGCGTATGACGCGCTCACGCACTTCCTGATTGAGGGCTCCTTCCTATACCATTGCTTCTTCAGCTCCATCACCATCTCCGCCACCCAGTCCCGCTTCGGCCCCGTGTTTCTGAACAAGCGCGACCGCGCCTACGGCGCCACCTACGGGGCCTCGTGGGACCCCACCGCCCGCCTGTGGCAGGAGTATGCCAAGGCCGACCACCGCTGGGGCGGCGCCGACCCCACCGTCATCTCCATCGAGCTGCTGACCGTCCTGCTCGGGGGCCCCACCGCCGCCTACATCTGCTACAGCCTGTACCGGCTGTCGCACGGGCGGCTGGGCAGCAAGCAGCGCGGAGTGGTCGTGGCCCGGACCTGGCTGGTGGCCGCCTGTCTGGCTACCGCCGAGCTGTACGGCGGGTTCATGACCTTCGTGCCGGAGTGGTTGGCCGGCAGCCCCGCGCTGAACACAAGCCACTGGATGTACGTGTATGTATACCTGACGTTCTTCAACGGGCTGTGGGTTATCGTGCCCGTCTGGGTCATCTGGCGCGCGCAGAAGGAGATCGTCCGCGCCTTTGTCGGTGGCACGCCCGAGTTGATGGGTGGCGCTGCTAGCTCTGCTGCGGCTCCTTCGCGGAAGAGATAAGTGAAATTTTATGGACTGTATAGTTGATGTCAAGTGTGCGATTTGCGCCGGTTTGCTTTGTATTATAGATCTCTTTTGTTCCAATAGACTGTTGTCACCTATCATGTATATCCGGTGTATATACCCTGTAGCTAAAAGCTTCGATCGTTGTTCCTGAGACGGTACTTTTGAGGTTAGGAAAGAGTAGCGAGGCAGCGAACTAACCTCACCAGTCGTGGCGGTCTCGTGATATAACCTCTGGCCGGCACTCAAGTCCTTGTCGTTGCCCGAAACACCCCCCCCCCCCCACTACCCGCAATGGATCAGCTTCGATTTTTCCCAGGAGACGACTACAAGTTATTGCGCTCTATTGCATCTTCGACTTCTCGAATTTGCTTTTCGTTGCCTGAATAATGGACTCCCAAGCACATATCCATGAAGATTACGTGCGAATCCCCCACTGCTCACCCTGCGGCCAGAAGTTCTATAGAAATACAGCTTTCCGTTCAGGTGACGTCTTGTCGCGGTCTCGGTCCCGCCACTGCTCACGCTGCATAGGACTGACAACCCAGCAGTGATCCAATTCTCACTCTGCTCATAAGCTTCCAGAAAAGCGGCAAGTGTGTTTACCTGCGCGACCTTCGTATCCAGATTCACAACCAGCCGCGCGAGAACGCTAGATACGCCGCCTCCATCCGTAGGCTCCGCGGGGCAAGCCATCGGGGTAGCGGCTGTCCCGAGTTTTCTCACGATCCACAACACTGGTCATGCCATGACCCCTCTAGCATGGACTAGACTCCGACCGGAGATCTATGGAAGGTATTCACTAGCCGAAGCAGTGCAGTCAATGCTTGCAACTTCTCCAGATGTCGAACACGGGCAAGCATGCTCTGGGAAGCGTTGAAGAGATGTGGAGCCTTGCCAGCCGAATTGGACGCCATGATATGGGAATATCTTGCGCCTGGGACCATTCGCAATTTGCTTGCACTCCACGCCTCCCGCAGGATTTGATCGGGACTTTCTTCTGACGCCAAAATGAGTAGGGCATCCATCTCCTACGTGGAGACTTTGTGTTTTATTTTACCCATCTTGTCCGGGGAACACCCTATATCTGTGGTATTCTTGTCAGGGAGGCCTGCTCTACGGCCACGAGAGCAGTTCCTCCGTGAACATGCTGGTCCCCGCTTCCAGTACGGCGTGTGTCTTCGGTCTCGGGATGTATGGGCTTCGAAAGATCGAGTTCCTGGCTCAGATTGAGACCGGAACCAGTCCTCTCGTAGCTGCACACTCACAAAAGACCAAATATGTGAAGCTGACAGCACTTACTAGATGTGGAAGGCCCGCCAGATTGGTGAGCCTTTGAACATATGATTTGATATGGTGTCGATCTAATTTGTCTTGTACAAGGGAATACTTGGTGACAGCTGCTGTCACGGAGCGGAGACAAGGGGGCTTGATTAGTCGAAGGGCATGGCAGAAGTATGTTCTCAATCATTCAGTATACGTACCAGGACTTGAAACTGAGAGAGCTGTACCGGAATACCCAGAGAACACTTCTACCCCAGCCCGATCATGAGGGCTATGTGTGCTTGTCCCAGCATGTCTCGAGACACAATTCGCCAAATTCCTGCATTTGCGTGTCTGAAGAAAGCCCTTTGTCTGGACCAATATGACAACGCGCAAGACATGAGCTGTTTGATGCCCCGGCCGAGTAAATCCCTGTCGGTTGAGAAGCTAGGACGCCAGGTTCACCTCTCGACTTACACCCAAGTCGCCGGGTATCAATATAGTAGAATCTCACATTCTTCAGTGATATGCGGAGAACGTTCATTGAAAAGCCTGTGCATGAATTCTCACAAGTGACTTCAAGTCGTCAGTCCGTTCGAAGGAAGGACGTCTTTTTGAACGGATGAAAGTCGAATATGGCACATATCAAGGCAACTCATGCCTCAACTGATCTTTGTGGCCCACCAGCTCAATCCGCGTGGGCTCACTATGCAGCTCGCCCAGCCTCGATTCCCCGGTAGCCTCATACATATACCCTGCATTCTGCGGCTGCGACGACACACCCGGCTGGTACCCGGGGGACTGCGTCTTCTTCCGGCGTCGCATCAGCAGCCAGATGGCGACCGCCAACGCAGCGACACCTAGCACCCCTCCAACCACGCCCCCGGCAACCGCCCCTTTATTGACCCCGTGTGAATGTGCAGTCGATGCAATCGTTGTCGTCATCGTCGTCGTCGTCGAAGATACCGCCGCCCCGCTCGTTCCAGTCGTCGTTGCAGTTCCTGTTATCGGCGCCGTACCTGAACTAGCAGTCGCACTCGCAGTCGTAGTCGCAGTCGTTTCTAACCCAACGCCACCCAAAACACGCTTAGCCCTCAAAACTCATTTCCCAAAAAAACCAACCCCTCCAACTCCCGATTCAAGGAGGATGAAACGAAATACCTTGCGCAATGACATTCAACGCCGAAAACGACGCATCCCCCTGAAACCCCGCCGGCGCACACCCGACCCACGTCTCCTCCTTCACCCCGAACCCCTGGGTATCGCCCTCGCAGCAGAAATACCCGCTGTAGTTGTACAGGGCCCACTGGGCGTCGGCGCACACGGGCGGGTCCTCGATCTGGGCGGTGCAATCGGTCCAGCTCGGGCAGCAGACGTTGTTGGCGATGCTGACCTTGCTGCCGGGGCAGTAGGAGCCCGACGGGCAGCAGGCGTACCAGGTGTCCCAGGTGCGGCCGCAGCTAACCTCGTCGGTGAGGCAGGTGTTGTTGCGGCGGGAGGCGAAGCCTTGGATCTCGGTGGTGTTGTCGGTCATTGTGTAGTCTTTCGTTGGGGAGGATGTGAGGGTGAATTGGTGGGTAGGAGAGGATGGATAGGAGTAAGTTATAAAGAAGCGATCAGGAGTGGGCGTGGTGAATGAGACTGCCACTAACTTAACTACCACTGCCACTAATACGTTAATTAGGGTACGGAGGAGAAAGGAAAGCGTAAGAAGAGAAGAGGAACCCTACCTTGCCTACCTACTTAAGCTATGTAAAGTACTCATATTTCCGTGGGTTTCCCCACTCCCCGTCCGTCCCTGCGCTAAAATGTCTAAAATGTATCGGGCACGGGGAACGGGGCCAGGGTCAAATCGAGTGGAGAATTCCCATTGACATCGACGTGCCCGTTGGCTGCTGGCATTCCTCGCGCAGTAGTGTGATTGCGATCGGCGGGTCGCTTACCCTAGTGATGGAGGACAGGACAGGACTAGTCTAACTAACCGATTAAGTGCTCGTATGTGTATCTCACCTCCGTAGACGAGGGAGGCCAAGGCGTGATGATCTCGGTTTGATCCTTTCATCCTTTTGAACTGAGCAGATGGTCTTCCATTCGCAGTATCGGTTATCCGGCGGGCGGGCCTTTAGGGTAGCTGCCTCTGCCATCCAACAATGTACAGCGGTGTCCACGCGAGACAATCAAGATAGAATTTACGGGTTAAACAATGCTGTCAGAATGGAAGATAACGTGAGCCCCCTCCCCATTCCCCTTCCCACCCCCCGCATAGTGATGGATGGATGCAGACCCACTTATGCGGCTGAGGCTGTATTGGTTGCTTATGAGCTTTTCCACTCATGCCTTGCACATAGCGAATGGGTGCGAACCATCTTGGCAGGTACAGTCGAGTCGGTACATAGGTGATATATAAGCAGACAGCCAAGGTTGCCCGGAAGAAGCAAGCGGACTGCATAGCTATCGTATAGAAACCATAATGCTCCTTCCTCCACCTTTACCTCGCCAGCCCAACCATAGCACCAAGGATCCCCTTCTCCCTGGGTTAGAAAGGCAAAAACTCCCACATGGGCCCGATCATCAACAAATCCTCCAACCCCATACCAGGCACCAACTCCTCGGTCTCCGTCTCCATCCCGACAACAACCTCGGGGCTCATCGTCGTCGTAGATGTTGTAACCGTGGACGCGGATTGAACCCGACCTCTCTGCCGCTGCCGCTGCCGCTGCCGCCGCCTCTGCTGCAAGGCCTCTTCCTGCCTCGCATGGGCATCCCGCCACATGGCGATCCGAGAACTCACCTTGCCAAACACCTTCGGGACAAGGGTCCCTTCCTCGCGGGCGACCGTCACCGCATCCGCCACCTTCTGCGTGAGTCGGTCGACCGTCGCCTGATAATCTATGACCTGGCGCGCGTACTCCCTGTCCCAGAGGTTCTGTGCTGGGCTATCGTCGTCGTCGCCGTCGTCTCCATCGTCGTAGACGGAGATGTGGGACAGGATCAAGAAGCCGTGGCCGAGTTGGCACCAGAGGAGGTAGGGCATGTGGAAGAAGGCGGAGGAGGGGATGGCGAAGAAGGTGTCGAAGAAGGATTTCACGGCGTGGAGACAGGCGTGCAGAGTGGTGAGGTGGGTGGGCGGGTAGGTGGTCTCCCTGAAGTCGGGGTCGCGGCGGAGGGCGGTGCGGTAGACGAAGAGTTCGAGGTTGTGGTATTGGAGGAGGAGGAATACTGTTGCATCAATAGGTCCATTGTTAAAAGTGCTCTTGGTTTTTCTATGTTACAGGGGGGGGGGGCTTACACGACTTTGTGGGGTCGTTGAATGCGAGCGCAGGCTTCAGCTGTTCGAGCTCCTTCTGCAGCCATCGGATGGCAATTCCTCTGTGTGAGCAGCCCGAGGAGCTAATCGAATCATGCGGGTGGTCTGGCTGAAGGGTGCGGTGGATTTTCTCCGCCATGCGAGCGAGATCGACCAGACATAACAAGTATCGGTCCGATTCTTCTTGCGCCGCCGCTTGGAGGACTTGGTAGCTCTCCCCCATGTAGCTTGTATACTGCATGGGCTCGGACTCCCCTAGACACATCGAGATCCTGGCTGGGTCAGTCGTAGCATCGTCAAAACCAAGGACGATTAGACATACATTGTAACGAGGTAGAAGCACCCCAGATAAGCCTTGCGTTCTTCCAGAGTCCGGCCCGCGCCGGACGGCCGCTCAAACTGTCTGCACTTCATATACGATAAGACGGATTGGGGCGCCCCGCTCGATACATCTCTGGCCAAGCCCAGGTTTCTGCTCTGAGCCACCAGAAGATGGAGATAGTTGCACAGTTGCTCCGGCGAGGGGACGTAGATATGCGCCCTAATTCACACACACACCCCCGCGGCGGTCAAAGCTGTAATCATACAATGAAGAATCAGAAGGGGCACGACTCACCACGCAAGGAAGAGAAGAAACCCCTGAAAGAGATCCAAACTAGCTTCCCCGTTGACCACAACCCGTTCAACCAGGTACGCCTTGACCTTCCCGGCGATGGCCCACTGCGCCTCCTGATCCTGACAGGCGATCATGGACATGACCATGTGGAGGAACGGTTTGCGGAGGAGAAGCTCATCATCCGACAGAGGGGATGCGCACGCAACGAACGGGAAGCGCGTCGCCATGCGCTGGTGGAAGATGGCAATTGTCGCCTGCGGTGTCTCGTTGGACCCGCTCGAAGAATGGGTCTGTGGTTGTGGCATCTGGGGCATCTGGCCGACGGGTGTCAGGCACCCGCAGTTGGAAATTATGCCCTCAATGGGCTGCTGTGTGGCCCCCAGGAGTGAGGTCATGTTCTCCAGTTTCTTTTCTAATCGTCGCACGTCCCTGGAAATGGAGGTATTTTAGCGTCACATATGGCAGTCCGAGAGGATGGACAGCACCTACGTCAACGTTCTGGTTCGGGGTTTACCGAGACTATGCGCTCCTGGGACTTGCTTCGTGCATTCTTTCCTTAGACGATGGCATCTGCTTCGCTGTCAGTATGACTCCGTAAATACATTATGTTTCTCAAGCATTGCACCCGTACCTCTGACAGGCTTGGCTGGTTGGCCCGGGATCGCACCGGGTCTTGGCCTTGGAGCATGGCCGGCATGCTTTGAGTGGCGTAATTTCCTGGCTACGCATGACGAACACACCGATACAGTGAGAAATCGCTCGCTTGGGTGAATCTAGAAGAACGAGGCAAGCTCCAGGCTGGGAGCTAGTTGAAGAGCGTAAAGGACAGGAGCTGATGACTCTTTATGCGGGGACGGGATTCCGTGTCCGTTGTTTCTGCCTGAGGCACAAGAGATTCGCTCCCCGACTTGGGGGCGGAAATAGAGGCATGCATGAGGCATGCATGTAATAAGTCTTCGCTACTGTCGCGGGTATTTTGATGCTTAGCATGTGTGTCTATTTAGGCAGATCTCAATTCATCTAACAAAGCTTTCCACTGGACTATTTTTCCAGGGACTTAGTCTAAGTACATTAACAACACCGCTCCTTATCAATCTCAGCGTTAAATCAGCTGTGTGCATGACGTACCACGTGGAACCTGTTCATCTAGAACAACGAGCCCCGCCGGAGATGGGTACAGTAAACAGGAATCCTAATGACATCTTCTGTCTATCCTGACAACGCTATTGCGATTGAAACGAAGAGTAGAGTGCATATGAGCCTAGAAGTCTACAAGAATTCGCAGAAATACAAGTTCGGGAGGAAGTCTTAAGCAACTTGTCGAATTATGATTTCTGATTGTATTGGGTATTTGTGCCATTCCATCATGGCAAATGTATGTGATGCAAGACATGTTCAACCACAGCCAAGTCCAACGACGTATGTACAGTCCAAGCAAGCTTCAACCCCTGGCGAAGCGCGGTTCAATAGTGTTCGGAGGTAGGTCTGATCGTACTATCAGACGTCAGTGATTGGTCGTGATGCAGACAATACATTACTTAGTTGGTTAACTTACATTACCAACGTCCGCCAGGGCCGCCTTGAGGGCCACCATGACCCTGAGGGCCGCCGGGACCACCATGGCCTCCAGGGCCTCCAGGGCCGCCTTGAGGACCACCGTGAGGGCCGCCGGGACCGCCAGGGCCACCAGGGCCACCAAAGCCACCGGGGCCGCCAGGGCCGCCGGGACCGCCGTGAGGACCGCCTTGAGGGCCACCGAAGTGTTCAGGACCGCCAGGGCCTCCGGGGCCTCCGGGGCCGCCTTGAGGTCCTCCGTGAGGACCGCCGGGACCGCCAGGTCCGCCCTGGGGGCCGCCGTGGTGAGGGGGGTTTTCGTGGTGGTTGTGGTGGTGGAAGAGACCCATTGTGAGTGATAGATAAAGGATAGATGGTTTTTTTGTTTGATGAACAATTTAGAAGGAAGTGAGGTGGTCAGCCCCTCTTATATAGACAGAAGTCGCTCAGCCCAGCAGTGGAGCTCGCAAAGCAGACCCAGACTTCCCCTCCCTCCTTCCAGAAATGTGGCACACATCATAGCCACATACGACATCATCGGGTTAGACAGGTAACGCAGATCGGGGCTTGGCTATCAATCGAATCAGCCTCTTGAGTCAATAAACCCCGATGACACTGCCGCTGACAAAACTCCTCCGGCAGGGGGGGCTGATGAATTCTCGAATGATGTTGCCTATCCAAGGGGGGGAGGCAGCTGGGGAGAGTGGGCGCGCCTCCCCGATCTATTGCCCCAATCTTTGGGAGTCTTGGCATTTCCGCTGCCACTCATTGCTTTAGGGTTTTGCGTGCCTTTCGAAGTCCACGGGTGGTACGTACGCGGTTCCTGACGCGTCAGGGCGGGAGATGACCCGACTCACGCCTGTTGACGATGATGTCTCGACGATGCGCAATTGCTGCAACCCTTGATTAAAGACAGATAGACAGAGAACATACAGGGTCTTGCACTGTTCCTCCATCAGCGTGGTCAACAGACTGCGCCATGATGGTAGATGTTCCCACCGAGGGCGTCGCTAGCCGCTCCAGCGCCACCAAAAGTGGATAGAGGCATACGTACGCACGCAGCTCGACGGTCCCCACTCCAACCGCTGCAGCCCTTCAGCCTTAGGGGCAACCGGCTAATCGCTTCACCATCACATCATCCCATCGGTGCTTGGCAGTCCCTCTATGAGAGGGGCGCAGTGGCACACTATTGTTTCCAATGTTGCAAGAGCCGGAGTCGGGGGTATCTTGGCAGCACGTTTAAGCGACGCGATTAATTGCGTCGGAGGGAAGTCATGCGTAGGGGTAGAGTGTTCTAAATGGAGATTCCCAGCACCAGAATCCATCCATAGTCAAGCCGGGACTGATAGCTAGACAGTCTTCATAGCGGTCCTGAATTCTGTTCTATCGAAGCTTATCGAAAGGAGGAAGATCAATTGCTCCGAGGACGATCGACGTGCCGCCCGACGAAGTCCGGGGAAATGGAGCGCCTTACGGAGGGCAGGATCCCTTGGATGATTCTATAATAGGCAGCCAGGACGTCATAATGTTCGTCAGCTGTGCAGAGGGTAGACTATGGCCACGTCTGTCATGACAACATCGACATCATTCGAGGGGAGAGTCGACATCACAGAATATTTTCGTCATGCCTTTCGGTCACGTGTCGATAGTCTAGGCCACTTTGAATCCCGCTTAGTCATGGAAAGTCTCCACACCTCGGGAATTTCCCGAGGATCTTCCCTGCGCCTCGGAGACCGACCTCGGGAGTCGGGTTCAAATTCCAGTTTGGGACTGAGCGACAAGCTCCGCCCCCGACATGGTACCTGTGATCCATCGAAAGAAGCACAAGAAGACATTTCTACCGAAGGGGGAAAAGGTACCATCCTCCAAAGAGCTCATGAGGCGCGTTGCAAAGCAAGCAGAACAGACTTTGCATCTACTTGTGTACGCGAAGCACACTGCACTGTTTAGTCTGCAATCTTACACTTCATCCACTGTTTGGACAAGCTCAAATTATTCATTGTGGAAGAATAGCCAAAACTAAGCTTAGCAGAGGTACTCTAAGCTGGCTTCCAGATACTATGCAACTGCATAAGACCACTATTCTACCCCCTTAGCAGATCAGTGAAAGGCTCTTCCGGCAAATTCATCATTGCCAATCATCCCGCTCGATCTATCACTCCCAGAGGCTGCCGCCGATGGCAAAAATGGGTCCAACTGCCCCTGGGTAGACGCGGTCACAGCTTTCAGAATGGTCACTGCTCTACCCAACGGAAGATCATAACGTGCCCCCGTGCAGTCAAAATCAATAGCTCGGATTTCCTCATGAGGATCCTGCCTGACCACCAGCCCAACCGTATTCTCTCTCACATCGTCCATCAATTCCCTATCGAAGAGTGACCGGTAAATGTCTCGCAGACCCATCATCTCTGATGGCTTAATCTTCGAGAGGACAGCGCCCATGCGTTCGGAATCCATCACGCCCACTGCGAGAGCACGATTGAGGCCTGGAATGGCGCGAGTGGCACTGCCTCGTCCCAACCAGTAAGGCTCATGATAGATGAAAAGAGGGTAGATTTCGACGGGGGCATTGTTCACGGAATCGATCAGGCTGGCTAAGTTGGCAAGCTGTTCCGCTAGCTGCTCAACGGTTGTCGGACCATCCTCGGTACTTGCGTCCGATGCCTTTGTTGTTGGTTCCTCTTGTTTGGCTTGCTCTGTTTCTGTCGTCGGGGGAGTGGACGAAAATTCCACTGTCGAGGGATCAGTCGTTGACGCCGTGGCTGCCCTTTCTGACGCCTGCTGAGCTTTTGCTGCTCTCCTCCTTTCCCTCCTCTGCCTTGCCTTTGACTTTCCCTTGGCCATGTATTGCACTTCCGGCCACCTTCTTGGTGACTCAAATCAGCCTCTAAAGGCAGCATAGGAGTGATCAGCAAACAACAGGCTTAGTGATAGGGCTGGCTTACGGGAAAGCCAATCTTGACTCTTTCAACGTGGTCAATGTCGTTGAAATGACGCAGTAAGCGCGGCTGAGAATGACTATGAACGGAGTGATCGACGAACTGCTGATTGCGAGGTAGATAAGATGCTGATGATGATGGATAATGATATAGATGACTGTTTCCGATGTGCTGTATAGAAGGAGGATAGATGGGGGAACAGAGGGAGGAATCATGTCTCCGCGATGTATTGGATTTCTCCGGATGGACCTTCGCGGTCTTGAGGTAGGATCGACCGAGACATGGTTTGGATATAGTAATGGTAAGTGGATGAGGGTTGTTGGGAGATGGAGAAGAGTGGTGCATTCCTCCTAGCCAAACCCATTATAGAGGGACATCAAACTGGCTCGGAAGGCGCATCCTTCCCTAGGACGGTTGCTAGTTGTTGCCCAGGTACGACTGGCTCCTGCCCTTCTGAAAGGGAAAAGGGAGCCTCCCCCTCCGGAACTCATTTCCTAGCTCACGACAAGCACATGGTACCTGGTATACAGAAGGAGGGGGGGGGGTTACCCTCGATCCATGGTTCCGTGCAATGGGTAGGCACAGTAACCATGCTTAACATGCCCATCACATTCATTCATTAACCAACGAAAAAAGATGATGGCTTTTGACTGCTTGAACTTGTTCTTCTTGCAGCATAAACTGAATGTCCCATGCTTTGTGCTGCCCTTTGGGAAGAACTACACACAGGAAACCATCCAGCAGCCCCACATGTAAGCGAAAGTCAGCTACCGTGCCCAGATCTCTGCCGAAGTTGAAGTTATAAATATTCAAATGCCGAAGGCTGGTGACGGAAAACTTACCTCCTTTGATGCTCATTGCTCCCCAGTCGCGCTGCAGCCGCAAAGAAGTGATTAAGCTGCGAATGTGCGGGTCCGTCAGGGTTCGGATCTCCTGATGGATTGCGGAGGCTGTGTTGGCAACTTGGATCAAGTCCTCATTGTGCATGTTGAGATGATGTGCCGCGATGATCCCTTTGTTGATGTTGACGTTCTCTGTCAAGGACGACTGTGGCACGTGCAACATGGCGACCATGTTTCCGAGATATAGGTCAGGCCAGGGCGGCCTCATGTGAGGCCGGAGGTTGGCCGCAAAGGAGATCGTGTATTTATTCTTGTGCAGTGTTGGGGCTTGATTCTGACGCAGACACACCTCAAGAAGGGAGGCCAGCACATCATGGCATGAGATGTGATCCGGAGAGGTCACATTTGTCTCGTGCTGGTGGTTGGTGGATAGTAAGGTAGTACAAACACCTTTCAACCGACTGATCGTTCGGTCCGGCACGTTTGAATTGGAAGGATTCGAAGAGCGGCGGTGCTATTTCCGAATGGCACTTTGCAGGGGGTAAACATGATAAAGGGCTTTCCGCGCTGTAACTGGCAGAGAAGTCTTTCCATACGCTTTTGCCGGTTGCATCTTCAAGGCACAATTGCGGACGCAATTTCATGTTGACTTCATGTAGGTCTGCCGTGCTCTGCGTACCACTGCAGCAATGACTTAGAACACCGAGAATGTTACCAACCCCGGTGCCGTCAAAGGCCAGGTTGTTGAAGCTGACACCCAGAAGAATCCCATTCGTCGTCATCTTGGCGGCAAATTTTATAGCAGGCTGGGGTTGCGTGTGATCCAAAACTGTCGGCAGAGGTGCGTACTTCTTGGAGAATTCCAACTCTTCGGCTCCCGTACAGGTGGAAATGCTCACAGACACTGCTACCGATTCATGAAAACGGTCTCTAACTTGGAGTAAAGATAGGGACTGGGTTGAGCTGGAGGGAGGTCGGATGCAGTGAACGTTCTCCGGGGATATGATATCGGATAATACCACATCATACGTGATAATCGGAATGGCCTCAGCCATCTTTCTGATGCCGCTTCGAAGTGACTCCAAGCCCTTTTCTGGCTGCTGCAGGCTGAAAGAGAGGTAGAAAGTGAAATACACCTTTGGGATGCTATGGTCGAGGGGTGACAGAACATGTCCGTCGGGATCAAAGATAGACATCTCTTGGACCTTTTGGTCGAGTGAGAACCACAGAAAGAGGGCAATAATCTTGAGATCTCATTATAGTCAGTAATCGTGCACTTTTCAGCACTTTTCAGTGCATCTTCCGGGTCACGGTATGAATCGTCTCGAGGTACCTATGGGCAGGGTCAAGTGTCAATTTCCCGTCTTTCTTATAGAACCGGGGGGCCGTTCGACTCCTTCCTAACGTATACTAACACGTGCCTTAATATCAAGATTCTCCCCTGATGACCTGAAAAGCTTACATAGATAGCTGATTCAGATGCCTCACTCGCTCGAGTAATCACCAAGAAACCGATTTTAGATGCAGATAACCAGGGTTGAGCGGACAATGAACTGATCACGGAACAGGTGATCTAAGTAGAAAGAAAGTAATGGCCCTGAAAACATCCGAAAAGAAGAACTGCTCATGGGAAGATCTGAGGTGGCATGGGGAGGTCGTGGTAGTGTTTTCGTGTTGTCTCGCCTGCAACCACTCACCCTCCCTGGAAACCTCATCCTCTCCCTGATGGGGGTGAACCGCGAGGAGAAATCCCCAAGCGCTTTCGGAACATCCCAAAGCTGTATACATTCGCGAAGACTAGCATCATCTACAGCGTCGAGCTGTAGATGGTGCTAGTCTTCGCAAGGGCCCTGTCGTGCGGGCAGGCGGGGTAGGCGGTGCCCACTGGCTGCTGCGCGTAGTGCTTGGAGAAGGCCCGCTGGGAGCGGGTGAAGGTGGCCGCGTCAACCTCCCTATACTAGCCCTTCTGGAAGAAGTTGGCGTTCTTCCAGATGTCGCGCACCGGGTGAGGTGTTGCTTGTTCGGCCACTTGACCAGCTCGTTGATGGACTTCTGCGGCTGGCTGGTGAAGAAGCTCATGAGTGGGTTCCTGCTTGGAACATCAAACGATGATGATGGTGATGCTCAACACTAAGTGGAAGTTGTTTGTTGGTTACCTATGATAGTTGTAAGCCAACTAACAAAGTCAATGGAGACCAAATTGGGAATCTGACAGGGTTCTTATCTCTTTCACTCACAAGGCGCAGTGGAACAAACCCGCTGGGATGATTTCTGAACAATTCTCGCCAACTTCAGCAGCTCAAACCAGGACACCGCAGAGCTTTCCGTCATTGACTTATTTCAGAGTTCCACATCCGGGCTGCTCATTTGCATCATGAAGCACGGAATACGACCTTTTCTATCAGGCATCGTGCTTGTTCTTCGCTCCCTGATATGAAGACGCACAATTTTATCATGGAGTCATCTCTGGAAAAGCACGTGCAGGAGAAAGTTGAGACAGACATCACCAGCGGCAATCTTCAGGCTATTCGAGACCTGTGCCAGTCAACCGATCCCGAAAAGCAACCAAGCCTACTGGCCCACATCGTCGCCCGGGCGGCAGGCAAAGCTCAGCTCGACATATTGGACTGGCTCTGCAGTGAGGGGTTTCAGATCGCGCCAGGCTTCGTGAATAATGAGTTCTACCACCAAGCCTGCTACGCGCAGCCCCTTACCATCTGGAAGACCCTCGTCAAGAAGGGGTTCGACTGAACGACCACCACAGCGAGGTCGTCGGTGATGGGCTGAGTCTAGCAGCCTACTACGGCAATGTGGAGATCGCGCGCTTCCTGCTAGAGAAAGGACAGGATACCAACGAGGCGTGATGCGGGTATGATGACCTGGAGCCCGGTGTGGCCGCATTAACTGGCGAAAAGCCGTCCGTGGAGATTCTCCGATTGATGCTGCAGCGTGGATGGCGCCAAAGGAGAAGTGCCGCGCACATTGCCGCGGCGAGCTGGGTAGTATGGAGGCGCTGGAGTTGCTGGTGGAGCACGGGGCGGATCTGGAAGAAGCCAGTGGGTTGTGGACGAACTGTGGGATCGTGGAGGCAGATCGATGGAGCACAGTGTTGTATCGCGCGACGTACATGGGCCAGCGAGAGCCGGTGGTGCATCTGCTGGGCAAGGGGGCAAATGTTCACTTTAGAGATAAGATGGGGCGATCGATTCTGTGGGCTGCAAAGCAGGGAGGGAAATGAGGAGGTGATTGAGTTGGTGAAATTGGCTGGTCTGGAGGAAGAGTGAGTGACGGTCACAGGATGCTAATTGCTGATACGTTGTCAGAACCATGGTCTAAGCACGGCCTTCTGAATTCAGTACATCTTACCAATGTAGTTCATTTGAAGGTGTTTGACAAAGGCTTTCCTCTGTGGAAGCACAGGCTTATTCGTCTCGTTGACATGGTAGATCGAGAATGAAAGATTAATTGAGAAGCCAAAATGCCACTAGAAGTCAGTCTAGTTGATCTCTGGAATTCCACTCGTGTGAACAATTCTGCATAGATGTGGAGAGATAGAGAATAAACATTGCTCGTGCATGGTGGAGCGGTTACGGTTACGGTAGCGAGTGGGCCTGGCGGGGTGTTTGTGGTGCCTGAACCGACTGGCCGCCCAGCCCAGCCCCAGACCCAGACCTATTCCCAGTCCCACTGCAATCCCAGCCTCTTCCAGGTCTTCTCCCACTAAGTTCCCGCTCATTCCCTTTCTCTTCAGGCCTCAACTCACTCCATCTTCCTTCCTGTTTACCTTGACTCTGATTACTCTGGTTGACTCCGTTTGACTCTTTTTTCCTCCTAACTCCTCCTAACTCCTCCCATTCCTCCAGATACTTCCTCTCTCTGGTACCTCCATGTCGACAGCACCACACTCAGGTCCAGGCCTGAGAGATCTCGAAAAAGAATTGACTTGTTCGGTAAGTTTGGTGACATGAACCACTGGAATGCTGCGGGAGAGATGAAGGGTGTCCCTCCCCCCCACCATGATTCGACGTTCTCCATTCGCCTCCTTGCGTGCCAGCTCATCTGTCAGAACTACTACATAGTAGTAGACATAACCTCCGTTCTCCTTGGAACGGAACAGAACAGAAAGATCATCGACGGAAAAATATGCAGGAAACTAATGACAGTCAACTCCACCTAGATTTGTACCGACCTTCTCTACCAACCCCTCACCCTCCTCAACTGCCTCCACACCTTCTGCGGCTCGTGCCTCAAGGAGTGGTTCGCCGTACAAGGAACCCGTTCCCGACCGTCTTCGTCCGCCCGCTTCACCTGCCCATCATGCCGAGCGGCCGTGCGCGACACCCGTCCCAATGCGACCGTGACGACATTGTTGGATATGGTCTTGGCGGCCAGTCCCGACCGGGGCAAATCCGCCGCGGAGAAGGAGGAGGTTGCGCAGAGGTATAAACCGGGCGATTCGGTCTTTCCGTCCACGGATGCGGACTCAGATGCGGAGGATCGAAGGGTGCTGGAGGAAGTGAGGGCTTTCAGTTTGCAAGACAGTCGGTCGGGATATCGTCAACAACAACAGCAGCAGCGCTCGCGACATTCGTCGCAGAGTCGTCATCGGCGAGTGGAGGGCACGGGTACTGATTCGGATGAGCGTCGAAGGGAGGAGGATGGTCGGTCTCGACGACGACGGGAGGGTTCTTCACGACGACAACCACGGCGGACGACAGCTGGGGAGGAGGGACCGGAACGGTCGACAAGGCGGGTGGAACATCAGTCGAGCTTGAGGTCGCTGCTCAGTTTGTCGGATACGGAAACGATGCAAGAGGAGATCTTGCGACAGATCTTTGAGGAGGGGTTGTTGGATGATATCGATCTGGATAACATGGGTCCGTCACAGGAGGAAGAGCTCAGTGAGCGCATTGCGGATGCCTATCGTCGAAGGCATAGGCTACGAGCACGGTCTCAGCAGCAACGGACGGAATCTCGAGAACACTCGCAGACCCCGCCTTCTCGGCCTCGCGCGCGATCCCAGTCTGTGCAAAGGGCGGAAAATGGTACAGGTGCTGCTGCTATGAGGGATACGCGAGAGTCGAATGGCGGTCCCCCGGTCTCGAGACCATATCTTCTGGATCCGCTTGTCGCGCGTGATGGGCATTCGGGCCATCAAAGACGTCTGTCAGACCAAGGGGGAACTAGGACACGTCGAAGGACGTCGCCTGTACCGGTCAGCGCGGCGTCCTCTTCGGAAGTCTCGCTGCGGCCTGCAGCGCGATCGTCAAGTGACATGGTTGCTGATCGACCCCGAAACTCGCAAGCTGGTCGCGTTCGCACAGCGGAGGCTTCAGCAGCATCCCGATCACGCCGTGCCACTGCATCTGAACAGAACGTTCCCAACATCTGGGTTGAAGGGGCAAGGGAGAGGCAGCTTCGCCCGTCTGGAAGATCGTCGATTGATTCTCCTCGAGTGGCCACGACTTTGAATCACAGGGGACGCAACGGTTCTTGGCCTTCAAGCCCGGATGAGCCCTCAACAATATCGCCTCCAACCAGCTCTTTAGTGGCCGAGGTAGCTGTCGCAGCAAGGCAGGAGCCTCGTTCACGACCTTCATCCTCTCGATCAAACGCGCCTCCCCGTTCTGCGACACTGTACATGGAACCATCAATCAAGTGCGACCGGTGCGACAAGCCCAACATACAGTATGACCTACATAAGAAGTGTCCCACGTGTAAAGACGGAAACTTCTACCTATGTCTGCGATGCTATCGCATCGGGCGCGGCTGCCTCAATTGGGCTGGCTTCGGAGCGTCCGCAAAAGCGGATCTCGAACGCATTCGCGCATCATCGACCGGTGAGCCTCGATCCCTTGTCGATTCATCGCATATACTCCAGTCTTGCAAGTATCTTCGAGCACCAGAATCTGCCTACCGTTCCGACAGAGACGGGCGAATGGTCACCAACGACGACCCCGCCCGAAGATTGCAGACTGGGCTGTTCTGCGACAGCTGCCATTCGTCAGCAAACGACTGCCTCTGGAAGTGTAATCAATGCAACGAAGGAGACTGGGGCTTTTGCAACAGCTGCGTCAACCAAGGTCGCTGCTGCACGCACGCCCTGCTTCCCATCTGCCGCATCACCCGTGATAGCCCATTAGCATCGCCAACGGGGGCAAACACAATCGCACCAAATGGCGCCTCGAACGACTGCAGTGACGCCTCCGGGTCAGGAACTGAGATTTTCAAGATTCTTTCTTTCACCACAAATTGCGACATTTGCACACACCCGATCCCCGCATCAACGCTCCGCTTCCACTGCCTTGTATGCAATGACGGCGACTACGACATCTGCGCGAATTGCTACCTGCGCCTTGTTGCCACTGGCAAGATTCGCAAGGAGAACGGTCACAATGGCTGGAGGCGCTGCATCAAGGGGCACCGCATGATTGTCGTTGGCTTTGAAGATCACGACGAGGGGCAGCGCCGTGTCATCGTCAGGGATCTAGTGGGCGGATGTGCCTTGAACGACGACCACCTTCAACAGTCGTCATCTTCTCCATTTGCTGTTCTTACTCCTACAAGCATCCATGCGACTGCGTCGACTCCTGGAACTCCGAACTCTCCTTTCCCTCATTACACCACATCATTTTCGTCGTCTGCTGCAACTGGAGCAGGGCCAGGAGTTGCATCGCCCGAATTCGCACCCGGCGACTGGCTTTGGAAGGAAGGCTCGGAGCGACGCAAAAAGGCCTCCCGTCTTCGTCCCTGGCCACTTGGCGGCGAGCGCGATCGCACCGCCCTTACGTCTCCTCCGTCCTCAGAACCCAGCACCCCAAATACGCCGACATTCGCTGCTCCAACCCTGCCCAACTCCGCTGCACCGGCATCGGCATCAAGACGCTTTCCTCCAGATGGAGGCGTTGGGCTGATTGTCCATGCTCTGTGGTCGTGGTACCCTGAAGACGGCGTCAAAGATGAACTGATGTTCCCTCGCGGTGCTGAAATCACCGAAGCCGAGAACATCAACGATGACTGGTACTGGGGCTGTTATGCCGGCCTGACGGGGTTGTTTCCGGGCTCGCATGTGCATGTGGTGGATGAGATCGTCTAGTATCGATGATGGCGATGGCTAGAAGGTCTTGATACAGGTACTCGAGGCAGGTTTACTTGGGGGCTGTGTTTGAGGGTCGTTTCTTTTCTGTTTTGCATGCTTCTGGTTTTGTTTCTGATTTCTTATGACCGACTGACATGGGCGTGAGACGGGCCATTTCTTACGATGTGCATGAATGATGTAGCATATGATGATGATTATGAATTATGACTTACCTTTGATATCATGCTAATTACTTTCTTATATGGCGCTGATATGTAGAGTCTGAGTCGAATAAACATCCAGGAACAGTCTACCGGATTAGGCTTGCACCAGGGAAAACCATCCAGTCTCTCTATCCGACCCAAACCCACCAGAAGAGAACCGAGCCTGATCGCCCAACTCCCACAGCCAGACTTCCATCTTCCATCTTTCATCCTTCACGAACATCGGAAGAGGCAGCCCCTGGCTCCCTCACCATACTAAACAACTCCGCCTCCGCATCCTCGCGCACCACCACAAACCCCAACGGCTCATACACCGGCACCCCGGCGCGCGTCGAATCGATATACACGAGCATTCCCGTACGGTCCGCCAGCTCGCAGCCCCAACGGACCAACATGGTCGCCGCTCCGCGTCTCCGGTGCTGCGGGTGCGTCACTAACATATCGAGGTCTGTGTTTACGGTCAGTAACTTATCATCCTCCTCCTCCTCCTCCAACCCAAGCCCAAACCCCCTCCCCCCAAAGATTAACAAGAAAGCAAACCAGGAACAGGGAGAAATACAATAATATCCCCCTCTCCTCTGCCCCATAACCTCCCTCCTCACCACCTCACACCCGCCAAAGAACTGCTCACACAACGCCGCATCCGAGTCCGAATGCCATTCGGGGAACCGAGCGCCACGGTGGCCCGGATCGAGATCCCATTTCCCGTAGGCGATTATACTGGTGTCGTTGTCAGCAGCAGCAGCAGCAGCAGCAGCATCGCCTTCTTTCGCGTCCGGTGCGGCAGCGGCACCAGCAGGGCAGAGCCCCGGATCCACCACCTTCAGGTAGCGGACCCCGGCCTTCTGCTCCAGATCCTGGCGATTGGCGGCGGCCCACCAGGCGCGGAGGCCCGGCGTGTCTGGGAACATCTGGCGGTCGGTGGGCGTTGTGAACCCGGCGTAGAAGAGGCGGGTTAGGGCGGGGAGGTCGGGTTCGGTGACGGGGTGGATTTGGAGGGGTGGGAGTGGCATTTTTTCACTTGGTGATAATGTTGGGGTATCAAGCTGAGGAGGGGTTTGCGGTGCGATGTGCTGTGGGTTTTTTGTGGCATGTAGTTTTTTAAATGGCGGAAGGAGGACAGACGGATACTTATACTACTTCAAGGTTTCTTACTTCTTGCTTTGGACTGCACTCGTGAGAAGATGCTCTTGTGTGCCGATGGACGGGAGGATAAGTTACCACTAGGTACTGCGTACAGTGCTAGGTTAGTTAGTTAGTTAGCTTAGTAGTCGGACTAGCCCGCCTTCATTATCGTCAGCGTCAGTCAGCTTGCAGCCCACCCTTACCACCCTCACCACTTTAGATTAAGATTGAACAATCTTTTGGAAAGATGGCAGACACTTCAGCTGTCCTCCGGCCGCGTCACCAGGAAGAAACCTCGTTGATGGGTCTGTATTCGGATATAAGCCTAAGGCTTAAAAACGGCTCATTGATGGGAATTTCCTAGGTGATGTGTAGACATAGGCCGAGATTAGTCTGCAGGATGCACTGTGTGTTGAGGACTATTGTTGATTGTTGACTGAGGACTCCAAGGACCCTTCCATACCAGTGTTCCGTCAACTAGGAACTATTATGCATACAGCCCTTGGAATTGAACTGTGGAGATGCAAACCGCTTCGGTATGATTCAGGGTGGTTACTGGAAATAGTCAGCCCGGGACTGGTCGCTGCAGACTACCGACTCCCGGCTTTGCAGACAAAAGACCGTGGTTTGAGCAATTGACAAGAAACAGGCAATATGCAAAGTCAATGATCTTGAAACTACACTCCCAGAAAAATTAGTACAGATGTAGATGAACGCTCAATCTCTTCGAAATCCACCCAACCCCAAACCCAACCCCAACATCAGTAATTTCCCTCCCGATCCTTCTCCCAGAACCAATGATACAGATCCTTGTGGGTGCCATCGTCCTCGACATAGTCGCCCACCATCTCCGCCGTCTCGTTATTCCCCAGCAGATTGGCCTCCTCGGGCTCCCCCTGTGCGGTCAGGGAGTGCATCACCTCCTCCGCGCCCTGCTTGGTCTTCTCGGCCAAGTCACGAGCCCCCTCCCGCGCGACGTCCGCATACTCCTCGGCCTGTTCGCGGGCGCGTTGGATCAGCTCCTCGGGGCTCGGGTACTTGCGCAGCGCGATCAGCAGCAGGTAATAGCTCTGCACGATGGCCGAGTACACCGCGTCCTTGGCCAGCATGGTGAAACCATGCGAGAAGAAGCCCTTGAGGACCTCCGCCGGCAGACCCGCGTACAGGCCCGCGACGCCTTCCGTGCGAGCAATGTTGATGACATTGCTGACGATGGCCGGCGTGAACGAGATCCCCTCGTCCGTCTCCGCGTTGCTGTTCTCCTTCGCCTGCTCCCCATCTGAAGCTTTTCGCGCAGATGACGACAACGAAGAGTCATCGCCCATGACCTGCGCACGGGTCTTAGCCTTGGAGAACGGATACGTCACCGCCGAGGCCGCCGACTTGCTCAGCGCCGCCAGCAGGAACGTGACCGCCGGCGAGAGGGACCTTGATCTTTGCATCGGATCCCGCCGCCGCCGCCGCGACAGCAGCGCATACTTCAGCACCTCATTCAAGAAGAAAGTCAACGACGGATTGAGCGTCAAGATCAGCGAGGCCGAATACCCGGACCAGAACCCACGCAGCCCCTTCTCGGCGCGAATCCGCGCCGCAATCTCCCTCGAACTGCTTCCCACCGACCCTCTCTTGCCAGCAGTCTGCTTCCTCGCCACAATATTCGCCAACGGCGTCGTGAACAGCTTCGCAAACGCCCCCGCCACCACCCCGATCACCAACTCATCCAACACCGGCAACACGGTATTCTTCCTCCGCGCGCCACCACTACCACCAAATCGAGCCCGTATCCTCCGCTGCCGCAAAAACTCATACGCCAGGAAGAACAAAAACGAGTCGAACACCGACTTGGCGGTATCCTGCGCGAGACCCGTATAGAAGCTCCCCAGTCCCCCTTCCTGCGCGTAGATCTTGCGGGCTGCGTCGAGGACACCGGCGTAGCCATCATCATCGTCTCCAGCATTTTGGTCTTTTAGCTTCGCCTTCCCATCTTCTTGTTCTGGCTGGTTTGGGCGTTTCATCTGCTGCGTCTGCAACCGCGCGACGATCAGACTCAGCGGATACGTCGCCACATTGCTCAGGGCCGCGCCAATGGCGCCGGCCAGGGCGTTGCCCAGCGCCGGCAGAGCGGGGCCCCGCAGCGCCGCCTGTTTCCAGTCTGGATCCTGGCCTTGGGGTCGGCGAGGCTGTTCGTAGCGGTGGTAGAGTTGGTAGGAGTCCTAGATTTCGGAATGCCGTACCGCTTAGCGCTTGCTATCAGGTGTGGTGAACCGAACCATTTTCCAAGTGGTGCGTAGGCCGCGTTCGGAGTCATAAGAGAGTCAAAGGGGGAAGGGGGTAACGTACCAGCTCCGCCTCATAGGACATCTTGTATTCTGACATTGTTCATCACGCTGTTATACCTTTGGGCTGGATTGGTCGATTGGTTTGAGAGAAAGTGATCGCATCAGGACATGGGCGGTTTGTTTGGGGGATCTTGTTCTTCTAGTATGTTTGCGTTGTGGTGATGAGTAAGTAGCAAGCGCAGTCTGGCTCAAATATACTTGCTAATTGAAAGAAATCAGGAGATAAGGTGGAAGAGTATCAGTCGACGGTGCATCGTTCCACTTTGTTCTAGTAAGTAGGTAGCCCATCCATCAGACGGCATGGTGTGATGACCGAGGTTGACTGACCCGAAAGGGCGAGCGGGAGGGGGGCCGGGCCCATTACATCATCGCCCCGGGGCGGGTCTATGTGATTCTGTCCGTCCATCTACTGCATAACTCTGCTCAAGCACCATGAGATCACAGAGAGTCAAATCTACGCATTGGAATGCCGACATCCCGCCAATCAGGCTGACGTCCTATATTCTGGAATCAAGAGGAGAACGTGACAGGCTGATAGGGAGTTCTTCATTCATCTATCCACCCAAAGAATGCTTGACGCGACCGATCTACACGCAGACAACGAGATCGACAATTTTGGGTGCTGCAACTCATGGAAAAAACCTCCCAAGCCAGAATCCACAGTCCTGGTAGAAAAAGAAAACAGGAGAAAATTAGAAACAGATGATATTAACGACCAATGCCCGACCAGATCCTGAAACCCCGTAACCCATTGCATGAAAGCGAAAAGTATCCCAAGCAAAAGAAGACCGAAGACAAACTTGTCGTCTCTCGTGATCGTCGTATTTCATCCATCCATCCATTTCATGAATCTATCCTCCAGTTATATTCCGAAGATTGGCGCATGGCGACAGAAAAGAGAATACGTCGTGTTGGCGAGCCACTTGATGGGCAAGCGATGGAGAACAAGTTGAACAGACGAGATGATGTGACGATAGAGAGATCAAAGCAGAACAGACGGCGTTTAACCACCAAAACCGTAGAGGGTACGGCCCTGGCGCTTGAGGGCGTACACAACGTCCAGCGAGGTGACGGTCTTGCGCTTGGCGTGTTCGGTGTAGGTGACGGCATCACGGATGACCGACTCGAGGAAGGACTTCAAAACACCACGGGTCTCCTCGTAGATCATGGCGGAGATACGCTTGACACCACCACGGCGGGCGAGACGGCGGATGGCGGGTTTGGTTATACCCTGGATGTTGTCACGCAAAATCTTACGGTGACGCTTGGCACCACCCTTGCCGAGACCCTTTCCTCCTTTGCCACCTGTTGATTGAAGAGCGGTTAGTATTTGGTAGGGAAGATAAGAGAGCGAGAGAGCTTGAGATAGTGTGGCGAAGTGAGGGACGGAGCGTCAGGCAGGGGTTGCGATCACGTGCTGTCGGAGCAGGGTGCTGCGAAGCAGCCTCATCCAGCCACAGCAGACGGGCAAACCACGTAACAATACGCGTAACAGCAACACGATAAACAGAAAGGAAAAGAAAATAGAAGAAGATTACTTACGTCCAGTCATCTTGGCAGAATGTGCTTAAAAACCGAGATGGATGAGCGAAGAACAATGATAAAACGCGGGGTGGAAGATAGATGGATGGTCGACGTGACGCGTAGCGGGCCAGAGAAAATCAGAGGTTGTAAGAGAGGGGACAAGGAGAAGAGAGACGGTTTAAATAGGTTTGCGGAGTGGGCGGCAAGCGAGAGCGTGATTTTGAGTGACTAAGCGTCAAAGGGTGATCTGGAAGGATCAAAATGAAATGGAAACGGCTGATTGGTGGGTTGCGGCTGAAAAAAAGGGCGTTATGAACGGCCACTTTGGAGACGGGTGAAAGGGCACTGCAGCTGGCAGCCCTGGGAAAGGTACAGTAAGGTGGTCTAGGTATGGCTGCCAACGCGTCCGCCTGGAGCCGCCTTCCCGCTGCGGGTACGCCGGTCACGTGCCCACTGCCCCTCTTCCCCAACTCAAGGCCTGGACCACGCACCCATTAACTCCAAGGTTGCTTGTAATACATGGAAGCAGCTTGTACACAGTGAACAAAGGAAAGAAGAACTCACAGATCGCTAACACCACCCTCTTTTCATTGATAACTGGCCTAGCACTGGCTACGACATGCAAAACTATTATCCTACTTCTACATCTACATCTACTTGCAACCCTCATGTGGAAAGTGAAGATGTTCTGTGATTCACCCAGTCAGGCTTCAGACTGCATCCGGACATCCCAAAAACTCCTCTCGTCAAATGACACATTAAATAACGACAAGCCATCTTTGCCGGCCCCACCCACAATAGAACATGTACGAACGCTGGAAGAGGCAGGAGGAACAAAATGCTGAGCACGAAGAAGCAGATAAGGCCGATGCAGATCGACTTTTTGAAACAAACGCCTTCTGAATCTCACGGACATACAAGTAATCAACAAACAAGAAATGATCTGAACAGAGTCGGGACAGTCGAGGAGAAACGATAAAAAGCCATCAGGTCGTAATCGTCATCGTAGTGGACTACTACTTGGTTAAATGTAAATTAATAAACAGGATAACTTGCCCGGCATCATCCCGGATTCTCGCGGTTTATTACACATCGCAGAGAATCCGGAGCCTGACGCTCCAGACCGCGTATCCGAAAAATATACCGAGAGCCAAGGGGCGGCTGAACCCTGACTGCTCGCGCTGAAAATTTGCCAAACAGTTTTGCAAATGTGTCTGTGGCACGCATCTGATTGCGGAAAGGTAGAATGACGCCGTCGAAATAATCGGACCGGGTGTGGAAAAATTCGCATGTAACAAGGCGATGCCTGCCCATCCATACAAGCATCGTATCGTCCGGATACAAAGTCTGAGATATGTATCGACATTCAATGGAGGAAGAGGACGGTTTCGGGAGGATAGGGGTTTTTGCTTCATCCTTGGATAATTGCTGGGGTGTTGGTCTCTTTGAGGAAATTATTCTGAATGTAGGGGTATCCGATGTGACTAGGGGAGGAAGTTCGTGAATCGGCACCATATGCCGCCTCGAGGTGAGGTGACGAGCATGGAGAACCTGCGCTGGAACTGCTGCTGGAGCTTGTTCGGCTTGCAAAGTCCTTGACGGCCGTGGAATCGTTCCCGTCCGTCGAGAAGTTGGGCGAGCCGAAGAAACAATACTTATCCACCAGCTCCTTATATACGGAGGACTCGCGATGTGGTTTGCTCGATACTAGGGTGGAGGGTTTGTGACTGGACACAGAACTTGTTTGATGGCCATTGCCGTTTGCATGGCTGGAGATGTTATCACGAGGACTCATCCGCTTCTCTGAAGTCTGCTGATGATGACCATGCGGCGAGGGATTAGATTTGGCGCGGGCGGCCAAGGTTGTTCGGTCATGCGTCGGTTTGGTCTTCATAGCCGCCGTCAATGATGCCTCAAAATCATAGCGGTTGCCAAAGACCTGATGATTCTGCTTATCACGACGAATGGGAGCAGCAACCTCAACATCATGCGGCTCATCATCACACAATTGAGTTTCCTTGGCGGCCTTGGGTGAGTTGCCGAAAGACACATACTTATCCATCTCGGAAAAGTTGCTAAACGACGAAGGCATCGAATGGGGACGAGTGGTGGACACCACAAAGCTCCTGCTGCGAGGCAACGCGGTGCGAGGCTTCGTTGGCTGTGGGTTCGTCTGCCCGACCTTTGGTTTCATGATCTTTGTGAAATTGACTTGAAAGTTCTTGTGATGGTTGTTGTCCCAATACTCTTGGCCTTCGACATTGTAGCGTATGCACACAAACATCGTCTTCTTTTCAAGGTTTGTCTGATCATTCAGCTTGATATTAAATGAAAACCTGTCATAAGCATCGTGGGCATGCTCCCGTCGGGATTGGTTGTTGTACTCTGCGGTTACTTCTGATACCGTTTTCCAATGATCCAGGGTGAAACGAGCCGCAACATGTTTGTGAAAGGCCAAGTTAGCAACAGCCACAACACCGATCAGGGTATGCTTGTCAGGAGAGAGATATAGACGTTCCAGGCGGACACGCTGATGGGCGCGGGAGGAGACATCAGTAGGGAAGTTGTTGAGCGTGATCTCCCATTCCGAAGTGCTGTCATGAGGTGTGTGACGGAAAGGAAACTCCCCGGCAGCATCATAGTCGTCGACAGGAGATGTGTCAGCACTGACAGCTTGGGGTTTGTCCAACTGCAGAAAGTGCCGGATATGCTCCAATTGAGCATCGAAGTGCACAGCCTTGGAAAATGTCGGCGTTCCTGGCATGCTGGACGGACGCCGTCGAGCCGAAGCTGGACGAAGAGCGGGCCGAACGAGCTCTCCTGACTTCTTGCGTACCATTGGGTGCTTCACACGAGGTTCGTCATCCCGATCACTTTCTTCCGGGGAGGTAGTTAAGACTTCATCTTGCTTGTGGTCAACTAAAGACTCGGTAGCCGAACGTGAATGGGAGATCTTGCGAGCTTCTCGAGAAAGAGGCGGCCGCAGATGTTTCACGGAGTCGGCGGTTGAAGCAGCCATGCTTGAAGACGACGTATCTTCATCAACCGGCCTCTCTGGCGAGGACATCCTTCTTTGCTCTATCGACCTCACGGCTGCCTCTAATTTCTCCAGTTGCAGCTCGCCCTGCGGTCTATATGATGTCTCTTCATCACTGGAGTTGGGAGCAGAATCAGGAGGAGAGATCAGGGCCCCTGGAGGAATGGCCGCGTCACTCAGGGGAGGAGGAGACTTTCGAATACTCGACTGGGAGTAGCTGACATAGTCTGGCTTTGACGAGTGTGGCTCAGGAAAGACGAAGGCTTTGCTATTGGAAGGGCTCCTCCGATGCCTCCGTACATAAGACGTCGAGGAGTACGAGCGAGGTAGGTGTGGACGGGGAGGGTGTGAGGAGACCACGGTGGGCGAGTTGGGACAGGAGTTGGAGGTGAGTGGAGAGTGTTCAATGTGCTGCGCGGAAGGCGACGTCTTCGACGGCGCAGTGTAGGGCATCCGGCCGACCTTGTGTGATGCAACACAGAAAGGGAGGTGGATAGTGAATTGGTGAGAATCCTCCAGAAGCGAGGTGAGTTGCGAGAGAAAGAACGCCTGTCTTTGATCAAGAGACTAGAGGTCCGGGGATATGGCGTCTTTGAAAGTGGTCTTATCTTCCAGTCAGTTCCGAGCATCAAAGTTGGAAACGCAGCGTGAGACAGTGGAGCAGGAGGGACAGAAGCTTCGACCCACGTCAGGACGGGGAAATAAATGGGGGGGAAAGATAGTTGAGTGAGTTGATGACAGAGCTGGGCGTGCAGCGAAAAGTGGAGGAAGAGTGGTGTGACTGGCGACGTTCCAGTGGGTGCCGATAAGTAGAAGGAGCGTTGGAGGCAAAGGCTTGGTGCGGAGGGCAGATGCAGCAAACAAGGTGTTACGACACATAAGAGGATCCCAGGCAGTGGTACGAATTGAGAACGAAGCGATTGCGACCAAACAAATCACCGGGGATACATCTTGAATTCTCTAATTGCGCGAGGGAGGAGGGAGAGAGGAAAGAGGTTGCCATTGGAAGTGAGAGGCGACGCAGGCAGGCGGAGGAGGCTGGAGATTCGGTTCTGTCAAGTACTTAACATACCTTGGAGATGCGACATCAGTTTGATTGCGACATCGACGAGAATTGATGTTGAATGAAACAGGACAGAAACCGCCAGGGATATAATTGATTGGAAGTGAGGACGTGGATTTGAAGAAGGGAAGGATGTCAGAAGAAAAAAGAAGAAAAGAAGCAGAATAATAAGAAGAACGGAATTCGGATTTGGTTGGTTGGTTGGGTGGTTGAAGGCGAACCGGGATTGAAGTAGATACAAAGAAGTGAATCGGGATGGAGGGGAGGAAGGGAGGGGGAGGGAGAACGGAGGACCAGGATTCGAAGGCGGGCTTGTCGGAGAAGGATGGGGAAAATGGGAAAATGGAGTGAGTATATGAAAGATGACAGGCCCAGGGCGGAGTGGGAAATGGAGTGAGCCGCAGTTGACGGTCGGTATAGAGAGAAGATAGTAGAAGAAGAAGATGATTAAGAATAATAAGACTCAGACTCAGAGAGAAAGAGAGAGCGTTGAAAAAAAAATGAAGAGAGGATTTAATTACATGTCTGAAAATAAATTAAAATATCCGGAGAGTCAAAAATAAGGAAAATAAAAATAATAAATGATGATTTATTATTCAGAGAGAAAAAATAAATGTCCCACCCACCCCAGCAAAAGAGGTTCCTAATCAGAAAAGCTCGACATAATTCAGGAATGATATTGATAAGGGAGAAGGAGCTCGGACGTGGTTGCAACTTGCAGCAGAGCAGGTAGGCAAGCAGAAGAAGAAGTCGAAGAACGAAGCCGCCGCCGCCCAGGCAAGGAAATGCAAAATTCGGTACCTAGTACGGTCTCGTTCGTCTCGTTCTGCAATGGATGTCTCTCTTTCGCTCGTTGATTCACCCATCGCCCACTGCCCACTGCCAGCCAGGGAGGGGCAAAAAACTAAAGCGGGCAGTAGATGAAGCGGGTCCGTTCTTTCAGGACTGCATCGACTGCATCGAGTAGTTGCTTCGTAGATTTCCTTCTTCCATCGCTCCAGATTGGATTTTGACTTCGAGATCTCCGAGAGCAACAGATGTCTAGCCCCTCATCTCTTCCTCTTGGTGTGTCTGTCTCTCTGTTCTTACCCCTCCGGGAGCGAACTGTAATATGAAATGACTACTTGAATTGGTTAATCTATGAAGATGAAGGCGAAAACGGGTGGTGACATGACAGGGGCAGAAAGCGATAACAGAGTGGGATCGAAGCTACAAGTCGGTACCTTGGACTACCAAGTTGCCGCCGTACCCGGAGCGGGAGCAAGAAGATGAGAGGATGATGATGATGAAGGTGGCCGTGGTATTAGTGGTAAATACGAGTGCTGGGATGCTACTAACCAACTTAAAATAGGCGATCGAACGGTCTGGGACTGGGGACGATCCCCAACTGTCCAGTCAATGCGTTCCGGCCTGGTGGATCCCATGGATATCGGTACGTCCACTGTCGTATGTCCGTACGCATGGAAGGAAGGGAGGGAGGGAGGGAGGGAGTAGGTAGTGTAGTAAAGAAATCAAAAAAAAAAATTAGAAAGAAGAAAAAAAAAAGGGAAAAAAACCTTAGGAAAATGCAAAAAGAGTAAGAAAGATTGTATGATGGCAGTAGGATTGTAAGACGGCCGGTCGGTCGGTCTCTAACAAACTACGAGTAGTCTACAGTACTACACTCTCATTCAAGTCACTCACAAACTCCCTCTCCCTCTCTACGGGTATACCTTGGCCTGCCTTGTCCTGCCCGGGTTTCTTCGCCTCCCGATCGCATTCCCTATCCCTTCGGTACCCGGATGGCACCATGACAATCAGGGATTATCAATAATGATCTCCTTCAATCCTCGTTCGGTTCGACATCCCCCTCCCCTCCTTATCCCCGTCATTCCCTCCCCATTTTGAGATAGATTTTCCCTGGTTCCTCACGTTTGCGCCATCGGGAACCCTAAATGCACATCATCACCACAACTATGGCTATCATGACTATCACTGATATCAAAGCACTTCACCACATGTGGCTGGAGTGGGGGACAGGTGATCTTCAAGGCTGCATGGCCGGAGTATTCTAGTTAGTCTCTTTTAGTCTCTCATATCTAGGTTGTTGTTCATTGGAGGTATGTGTGTAACGATGTAGGTAGGTCCTACTCTAGTCCGGTCGGAGAAGGTATGATGTACGTGCTAGTCCAGAAGAATGTCGAATTTCAAGGCATGGCTGCATCGCTTCCGAGGGCTTCCATGATGTCGGTCACCATACCGAAACGGTCCTTTCTTTGTCAGTCACAGATAACGAACCCAATCTAGGATGATGACGATGATGATGAGTACGACTCTAATGGTGATGGTGATGATGATGATAAAAGACGAAGAACCTCTTGACCATTCGCAACTGGTGATAAATTCACACCAGTCCCCAGTTCCATGGAATCGGTTATCTCGATCGATAAGAGAACTCGGGGTGTCTGATCGACCTATGCAAGGACTCACGTTCTCTTCCCCGACCGTGTCTCGAGAGAGTCTGAGAGCCAGCCAGCCGAGCGACCAAGCGAAGCGACCGATGGACTGTTTATGCTGCTGCCGGTGGTGTTGCTAACTCAAAAGACCCTCCCGATCAAACCATGTCATGGTACAGCCCGCCTCGACCCGATAAATTGTGCGCAGCCGTAGGCAGCACGTCGTAGTACATGGTGTTAGAGAGAGGAAACGTTAAGGGCCATTTACGTATCAGTAACCATGGTTGAGTCTCCACCCCCAGTGTTCCTCCATTCCCCTCCTTCCTCCACCCCTCCTCCGGGCCTTTTTTTTCTCTTTCTTCTCAGTCTCTCTTATGCCTACATGTTCAGGGGCTTCCAGGCTCTTGGTTTAGCGCCGGTCTAAAAGTCGCCACCGCCCAACCAGCGGTTCCGGAAGTGTCTCTCGAAGGTCTAGAGGGCAAAAAATGTTGGGGAGCGTTAAAAACGCTGCCCACACTAAAATTCTGTGTTCGATGTATATTAGACTCCTCCCATCACTGGTGTCGACCACCTGCCAATCACGGTCTGTATCATACAGCTTCATCTGACCGGACAGCTTCCCTCAGTATCATTGACTGATGAAGCGCTTGGCTAGAAGTTCCCACTTCCATGTATATTCGGCCCTGCCTCCTGGCTTGTCGGGTTCCCAGCCTTGGAACAGTGACCCCAGCTTCCGGCCGGTGGTCCCCGTATGGCGTAAGTACCGATGGTCGAGTGGCCCCTCCGTCAATTGGAATGAAGTGTCTTCATTTTTTTTTCCCACAAGGAGGGGGGGGAAAGCTGATCAGCGTGGGACTTTACAATTTGGGATACCCAAGCGAAAACTTCTACAGACCTAGATGCAAAGAAGCAAGCAAAGTTTACAGGCGTGGGAGATCCACCAAGATACAGCTACTGGAGCTGCACGTCTAGAGTAGCAGAGGCACGCACAGTATTTAGCTAGATCACAATACAGAGTGTATATAATATATCCCCTTTTTGGGTGTGGTTTCACAGATTCGTCTGGTCTCGAAGAGTCGGAGACATGTATGAGAGTACTTCTCCTCGGACTTCGGAGCCTAGATGACTTTTCTACATTTCAAGTGGGGTGCCCACTGGGGGGGTCTGATGGTGGAGGAAGGGCTACACTAGTCCGGGCTTGGTTACCCACCCGTTAAGCTGGAGTGGTTAAATTTGATTGATGTGCTAAGCACTAGCGTCGTTCGGGCCAACGACTGATTTTCCAAGGAAATTCCCAGACTATGACATCAGTACCCTGCACCTGCTGGAGCACTGTTTGCCGGGTCGAAGGTCGAGACGCATTCTTGGTGGTGTCAGGTCCCCAGTCGTCACGTTCAAAAATTTTCTGGAGTCTGCACAGACCATGAGGGGAGTTGCGAATTCCACTGTCCTCTGTGCTGCCTTGGTCTGGCCAAACAGATTGG